AATTAATGTAATATCTTTTGAATAGCTTTTGGAGCTGAGGGCTGAGAGGTGTTTTTCAGATATCCCTCCATCTTCTGCTTCTCCATCACCGTCTGGTACGCTGCAGCCACAGCCAAGGACAAGGACAGGCTGCAGCGTGTCATCCGCTCTGCAGAGAGGGTGATCGGCTGCAATCTGCCATCTCTCCAGGTCTTGTTCGCTTCCAGGACCCTGAAGCCAGCTAAAAGGATCCTAGCCGACCCCTCTCACCCTGGACAAAAACTGTTCGTGTCCCTTCCATTTGGCAGGAGGCTGAGGTCCATCAGGACTAAGACCTCCCTTGTTATGCACCTGCCGCCAAGTCAAATTTCTAATGTATTTTGGTAATAAATGTTTCTGATTCCTGATTCAACAAAATAATCTGCCCAGCTGCAAAAAAAAAAGACTTCTCCCTATTGAAACCACCAACTTCATATGGTTGGTTTGTGTAGTTTTTAACAGTAGTTATATATTATGCTGTAGTAGAGGACAAGCAGTTTGAAAGAGATTTGTGTCTCTTTCTCAATCTCTGTCTCTGTTTCATCTTCCTCTTTCTTTATGTCTTCATAAAGAGTGTCCTAGATTTCCCCCTACCAATCAGACAGAGAGAGGGACAGAACAGAGGCGTTTTTCTCCTCCTGAGGCAGCCACTTGACAACGCAACTATTCCCATCGACTTGAATAGAGCAGGTGGACGGTGTGTGCGTGCGTGCGTGCGTGTGTGTGTGTGTGTGTGTGTGTGTGTGTGTGTGTGTGTGTGTGTGTGGAATCTACCTCTGGCTTTTGAAAATGTCAAGTGCAGCTCATCAGTGCAGCTAATACACCGTTTAGCTCGTCTGCCACTCAACCTGATCGTCACCTCTCACCTTTCTGCCTGTCGCTGCCTCGGTCGCTTCCTCTCTCATCACGTCCTCTTGTTAAGCAGCCCGTCTCTTGTCGTCCCTTTTATACGATCTATCTTACAGTCAAGCGGTCCTAACATACCATGAAGCCATTCCTTAAATACTCTCTGCCTTTCTGCCCACTTCACTAGCCATGCTGCTTCTCTGCCTGGCTAATCTTTTTACTACACCCTGTTTGTCGTCCTGATTTTCACATTGAAGCTCTATTTCTATTGGACACTATAGTTCTGATGTTTAAGCCCCGAAGCCTGTGCATCAGTTTCATAATCCTCAGCCAGCCTTCGCTCTTCCACAGTGTTCACTCACGTCTTCATTTGAGCCTCCGTTCCTTTAAGTCTCACATAGATTCATTGCACTCTTCTCCACATCAAACAACCGAAATATATAGATTATGTCACAAGCTGTTATTTTTATTTCATCTTTGATCGAGAAGAAAATGTACCTCACTATGGATGGAGGAGAAAAAAGCAAATAATGCTCTTCAGATGTGATCGTCAACGCCATGTAGGTCAGTGGAGAAGAGGGCAAATGGGGCTGTTGAGTGCTTTGTTTGCATTGCAGACTGTATTCATTCCAGTGCCCCGGCTTCTCTCTCTCTCTCTTGTTCCCTGAGGAGCCCAGCTGGGAGAGGCAGATAATCACACAGGGGCGCAGAGGCTTATCACCCACCCTCCCTCCCCCAATGGCACGCTCTCCTGCTCAAAAGCCCCAGCCTGAATTGAGAGGGGCTAAACTCCAGCCGGAAATACAGGGAGCGAAGGCAGCTGCAGGAGCGAGCAAGAGAGTATGGACACAGAGAGAGGGAGAGATGTTTATTGGGGGGGGGGGGGGGGGGGTGTCACCATTTGTTTGTTTGGATAACCACACGTAGTAAGTATTTATCAGTCCTTTCAGCTGCATATATATCTATGGCACTTAACAGTGAAATAAGTATGCTTTAAAATCAAGATATTCATACCATCTAGTTGAAAGATATTATTAGTCGTATTATAGTCAAACAATTGTAAAAATACAAGCTAATTAAAATCACCTCTGTAATGTTATTTCCTGAGAATCCACCTCCAGTCTGTCAAATACGTCAGTAACCAGACAGGTTGGTGACATCTTATTTGTTTGTATTTGGATATCAGCCAGTATCCTCACATATATTCCTCAAATATTTAGTCAACACTGTTCTCATGTATATATTATGAGTGCAAACAGATGCTTGAGACAAACATGCACTCAATCCCCACGTACTTCCATTACTTGCTCCAAGCTGCCGCCAGGCTGCGAGTGGGAAGTGTGGCCAAATAATCTAATAATGCTGATGTTTATTAAAAAGCGGCCTCTAGAGGCCAACGGGTATTCAAACTAGAGCGACATCTCCTCCCCGTGCTGCTAGCAAGCTGCGCGTCCAGCTGCCTGCAGCATGGGGGGGGGGGCTCAGGCTAACTAGGCGTCAGGTCTGATTATGGTGATCATGGTGGTGAGGAGTCTTGAGGCTGTAGGAGCTGTATATGGAAAACTGGGCTGAGGGAGAGCATATTAAGGGCAGAGGGTGTGTGTGTGTTAAAAGGTTGGATGTGACTGTGTCAGTGTGATTATGTGTTTGCTATATGTTCATATTTGCTGATTATAACTCGAAGCCTGTTTAACTGTCTATTCCTGACTTTGGTTCCAGTCCTCAGTCCATTGGCTCCTTCTTTAGTTTGATGTGACTTATGCTTCCCTAGTCTTTATTATTTCTACCGTAAAAGGTGTTGTAGTATTTATATTGGCCACTTTAGGAATTTTTCCTGTATGGACTTGTTGTCAATTTTTAAGTTGCGCACAAATTTTAGCCGTAACTTAATTAACCCCATCCATGGTTGGCATGTACATGGCATAGCAATACAGCAACGCTGTTGGAAGGGGAAACAGAATTCAACATAAAAGGAGGAAGTCAAACAAATGTGTTTTCTTCAAGAAACAGACTGAGGTTGTAACCAGCAGGAAATTATTGCTTTGCGCCTTTTATGTCAGTTTGACCAATTCATCGCATACACGACTAAATGGCATTAAAACTACTCAACACATATAGAGCAAAGTGGTGAGAGAAGAGCTAATTACCGCCATCCCTTGTCAAATGAGGCTGGCGAGGTCCACAGTTCTCTTTAGGCCACAGTATTGTGTGAGTCTTCCACAGAGGCAGAAGCTTAATTTAATCACAGCAGTGTTCACGGACATGATGTGTAGGAAGAAAGAGAATGAATGAAAGGCATTTTCTCAACTAGTGTTTGGAGAAAAGTGCTTAGACATATAGAACAACGTCAGTAACTGTGACTAACGATTGTTTTACACGCTGCTTTGTACTCTCGTTTATTGCATAATGATAATTTCTGAAAATGAATCATAATGAAAATGTTTATTTCTAATCATTCACCATCTATACAGGCTGTCTAATTTTGATTTACATTTAGGTTTATATCTTGTCTTTTGTATAAAGTGTCAGTATATTAATCCTCTCAACATTTTTCTGTTATCTCAGCCACGTTTATTTGTTTGCTGTAGAGCTGAGAAAATGCTAAATCAATCATGTTGTTTCAACAAGCAGACTGACATTGCATAAATCTAAAAACAGAGTAAAAAGATATCCGCTGGTCGAATCCCTTATAAAAAATATGGAGCCAAAGTCCAATTAGTTATATAATTACAGCTTTAATATCCTTCAGGTTCAAGTTGAGCAAACAGACACTTAATGAAACTTCAGACACATTTAAGAAGGAAACGTTGAATTATAAAATGTGTACTTCTTTGTGAAGTGGCAGAGGACAGAATTGTAGAGGAATAAGAGGGTCAATGTGTCGTGGTAACATGAACATGAACATGAACATGAATGCACCACACTCGCACACACGCGCTACGTTTCCTTGGTTTCCTCAGGCAGCCTCTTCCTGCTTCTGCTTCGCTGTCAGTGAGTGCTTGTGGGAGCCCTGCAGCGTAACGCAACTGGAGTAGATCTCAACAACCTCAATGTGTATGCTCGTATTGTTTACAGTACGTTCTAGTGCATTTTTCTTTCTTGTGGATACAGCTTTTCAACAAATACAGTGGGTAGTATTTCAATATGTGGTAATTCTCCCTGATCTCTGTTTTATCAGAACAGTTGTTATATTAGCCTTATAAATCAAGCTGCAATCGAATAATATGTCATGCAAACTAGTGGAAGGTTTGGTTTTCTTTAATTGTAATAACCTACATCCTTTTCAAACAGATCAGATTGCATTTATTCAAACAGTTATATTTTTATCTGGTAGTATACTTTATTCTTAGATTTTCTTCTATGGCTGCTGTGTTCAGAGGTCAAATTATCCTTCGTCAAAGGGGAATCATTAGTTGCAAAAAGAAAATACTTTTTCTCGTATGGTTTGCAGATGATTTCTTTGAGTCCCTGTATTTAAATAAAGATTTTTTCCAGCAGCAACAGGCAGTTGTTTTCACAAGGCAGGTTCTTACAATCCTAACCTGTTCGTATCACCGAACAGCAGACAAAGTCAGTAACGATGAAATAAATTAAGCCTGCACAATTATATTAATGTTTGTGATTGAGAATTTAAAAACCCAATAATGCATTTACTGTGTTTGGAGACGATAATCCAGTGTTCATTGGCTCGTTAGGGCAACCCTGTCCTGATTGACAGTGCCGGTAACGTGCCTTCAGGTAAAGCCAGCACAGTGGAGCTTATTCATTTCTTATATTGAGGAATGACATGCCGGCATCATTTATAATCTATATTTTGAATCAAACTATCTATAAAGTTTTTCTTGATGTGTAACATATATTAGACTAATATAACAAGGTCAAACATGTAGCAGTACAATATTGTTTGGTGACCTAAAAACCTCACGATCAGTGACTAAAGGAAATAAGATTGGGTCTATAACTAAAAACCTACTGCTTCTAAAGATCCACATACTGTAGCTTGCATTAAGCTTTGTTGAAGTAGAGAGGTGATATTGACCTGTTGTTACAACGTTAGATATATTTAAGAACAGCGTCTTTTACCTTAAGGCAGACTATCGGCATCTGATTTTTCTTGTTATTCTTTCTTTGTGAAGGTCTTTGCCATTTTTGCATTTGCAACATGTGGGGGCTACTCGGGGCAGCTGCGGGTTAGCGTCGACTGCATGGAGAAGGCAAGAAGCAACCTCAGCATTGGCATCGACTTTGCTTATCCTTTCAGGTGAGTAAATGAGTGGGCCTCATTCCTTGGCCCACACTTTAGTTGGCAAGAATATGAATCTGTGCTTACTCCGTGTGCTGATAAGTTGCGTGATGAAGCCAGTTACAATGGAACTTGAATGAATTCAGTGTTATCTGCCAACGTTCAGTGTCTTTTTCACTTTCAAACATTTAATTTATTTGTTAGCCATAGAAACCCCACTGTGGTCTGGTATCTGCAGCTCTCTGTAACATAATGTTGGTATTTTTAGTGAATAAAAACGCATATATGTTAATGCAGGAGATACAACTGAAACTATTTTTAATCTGGTTTGATCCTTGTACATATTCCTTTTATGTGTATCAGGTTGCACCAGGTGTCCTTCGATGCGCCCGTGTGTGAGGGCATTAGGGAGGAACGCGTGTTCCTCATTGGAGACTATTCATCCTCTGCGGAGTTCTTTGTCACCATAGCGGTCTTCGCCTTCCTGTATTCCCTCATGGCCACCATCGTCTACATCTTCTTTCAGAACAAGTACCGTGAAAACAGCCGAGGACCGCTCATTGTGAGTACAGTGGACTCCGACTGAAGACCCTTGCAGTCGTTAGTGACGGTTTACTCAGCATAATCTCACCCTTAAATTTTCAATTACCTATATTCCTCTGTTTGCATATTCACTCTACCAAGAGAATCCTAATGCTAGACGTAGCTTTACTGCGCAAAGTAACAAAAAGAAAGTATTGTTGTTTTTATGGAGCTTCACTTTTTCTTTCATATCCTTCCTTTTCTCTCCCCCGTGCCATCAGGACTTTATAGTGACCGTGGTGTTCTCCTTCATGTGGCTCGTCAGTTCCTCTGCTTGGGGAAAGGCTCTGTCCGATGTGAAAATTGCCACTGATCCAGATGAGGTGCAGCTCCTCATCTCTGCATGCAAAGTCCAGACGAACAAGTGCGGCTCTGTTCTTGAACCGCGCTGGTCCGGACTCAACACCTCGGTGGTAAGTTCACAGGATTCCCAAAACACTGGGTTGATAAATCCGTTATGAGGGAAGCACGGAAAGAACTTCATGCACCCGTGTGACGTTTATGGAGCAGTTCATGTACTGAAAAGAGTTAAATATTCAGCTGAAGAGAAAGTGGTGAGTTGAGTTTATATGGAAAACCCGAAAGAAGAGGAAATAAAAATGCCACCTGAAGTGTAAGCTGAAGTGTAGGCAATGAAAGCCGCTTGTGCGCATGAACTGTTGAAATTGTGAGAAATGTAAATGTATTTTCTCTTGTTGATCAAAGAAGAAAACCCACAGACCCAAAATATTTTGAAGTGATCATAAAGTATGAGCATTAAATGGAGTGAAATGGCTGTTGAACAGAAAGAGCTGAACATAGTTGAAATAGTGTGGTATGTGTTAGCAGTTGTCAAGTGACGTTAAAGTTTGGGGGTGCTGATAAAGTGTTGAGAAGATCTAGAGATTTCCTTAGATTTAAAAAAAGGATATATTTGAATATTTCAAAGATATACAACAAAAATGCATGAATTTGAGTGTGCATTACTATCAGGGATTTGTAATTTACTCAACATTGCTCTGTTTCATTCTCTTTCCCTTTAGGTTTTTGGTTTTCTCAACTTCGTTCTATGGGCTGGGAACATCTGGTTTGTGTTTAAGGAGACCGGTTGGCACAAGGGGGCTTCGAGTTTAGCAGGCGGGGGATCTGAGAAACAGTCCGGCACATTTAACAACCAGGGAATCTTGGATCAGTCAGCGGGCTACAACACCCAGGGAAACCTCAGCCAGCCGACCGAGTACAGCCAAGTGGGAGGACCCACCTCCTACTCCAATCAAATGTAGGCCTGCCTTTTGGATTTGTTAGTGGCATTACTAGATTTTAAACCAGAGGTGACAGGAGAGGAAGAAAGTTTGTTTAAAAAAAGATGGTCATAAAAAGGCATCAAAGGTGTCAAAGGACATCATTTTGTAGATACAGGTAGTGTTGGGTATCGTACCTTTTTGATCCTTCTATATCAGGTTTGTTCTTTGCTGAATGTTGTATTTGTTGTTGTTTGATACTTACAATTGATGGTGTTTTTCTCTGTGCTTGGTAATTGGCATTCACTGTTTTGATCGGCCAGCCCACTGTTGTGGTAGAAGGAAACTGTAGTGTACTGTATATTATCGTATAATGCTTCAAATTCCAAAAACGCTGTCAAATAAGTGCATGATGTTGTATTGTACCGTTCTAATATGCTCTCTGTGACTAGTTTAAAAAAAAGGTATTCCAATCTGTGGTTTACATAAATCTTGCTGCCCTGACTCTACTGACTAATACGTATACAATATATACCCTTATATAACTCTATTTTGTTAACGAGTATTTCTAATTCAGAAACAGATTCTAAATTTAATTTTGTGAAAGGTATGTGTTATATTTGTTTTGACAAATATGACAAATTCAACCCATGTCTGACAGTGATTGGGTCAGAAATTTGAAACAGCAAAATTGTATTTTGCAAAATGCACTACAGTATACCGATTTGTTCAAGACCAAAGTACGGTATTCAATCGCTTCTTTCCGTTGCTTTTTACTTATATATCAGACAGTCATTTCATTTCAATAATTGTTACATATGTTATACTTCTCTAAAAGCATTTCCAGAGTATCAATTGGCACTGCTTAAGCCCAGCAAAAAAAGCGCATCAGTAGCACAGCGTTGATGTATAGTGAATGGTAACGTAATTAATAATGAGCTTTTAAATCACTTCCGTTTTGTAAAAAATTGAATTAATCTGTGAAATTCATAATAGTAATACTGGCTGGATAAACCCAGTTGTTGCTTGTTTACATGGACATGACTTGTGCAACCTTGTTTCTTGACCTCCTTGGCATGCGACCTGCATCAGTGTAATGATGCATATAGGACATCCTTGTATGTATAATGGTTTGATATTCATGATAAATGTGTACAGGTCCAGTTAATGGCACTTTCAGTCAGTTCAGTAATGTGGATATTTTACAGGCTTTCTTGTTAATAAATTGGCCAATGCACAACCTGATTTGCATGTGACTGCTCAGATCTGTTTGACACTATAAATCAAACTGTGAAAAACAACTTTGTTTCTCTTAGTTGTTGCATCAGACTGTATTCCTGTTTTTTTCTGGTGGTTGTCGGGATCTCCGATCCCCCCGAGTTGGTTGATGAGAAGGATCGCAACACGTTAATCAATTAAAGTCAAAATCTATTTAGAAGAGAAAAAGATTACACAAGCAATTCTCCGCAGATATATCTGGCTCTAATTATTGCTTTCAAGCAGGAGGTCGAATACACCAGCATGTATTACAGTGCTCTGTGTAAATGGCGTCTCCAAGCAGTAAAAAAGTTTTTGTACATACATGTGAAGGCCATCCTCAGTGGCTGGTGCGAATTATAATTAATAGACAAAAAAGAAGAAACGTGGATATGAAAACTTTCATAACAAATAAGATATGAACCAAGGCCATGAACAGAATTCCCTTTGATGAAGCGTCTATGAGATCGAGTTGACCACCCTTCCTTCTCGGGACACAGCTTCAAACTAACATTTTCTATCATCCTGCTCTTTGCACGTCACGGTCAAATTGCACAACACGGGTATGTTATAACATATTTTTACCATTACATGCATCTCACATGGTATAATAATATAATTAGAAACCCAACCATCACAAGGTGCCGCAATGGATCTTTCTTTCATCCGCAACTTCATCTTATGTACACGCTGCACTCGTCACTTTTCACCGCCACTCAGATTAACTGAGCTGCACTGCAGGCCGACAAATATGTTGTTTGAGGAGAAGTAATGATTCTCATATGTGGACTTTATTTGTATGCTGTAGGCAGTAAACTGTTCGCAACATAAATTTACAAATATCTTGGTGATTGGTGATAATGTTTTTCTACTGTCCAGATATCAGCCAAGTGAAAACAAACTGGGATATTGATGCCATCTTGTGGTGTCAGTGCATTTAAACCATGCCGGCTCTCTAAAGACAAGACAGCCCCCAAATACAATAACTGAGAGCGTGAAGAATTTTTTAACATGTGGACGGTTCTAATTTCACAAATTGTTGTATAATTTTTATTCAGAAGCTGAGTGTATTTCAGAGCAATCTGATCCGGTCCTCTTTATTAACATACTCACATTTTGTAGAAACCTGAAATGAACCCTGCACGCTGTGCAGCCTCTGGAAAGACCAGCAGGCGGCAACAGCAGACCGTCTGAGCCCACCCAACACGTTCCCAGCAGGGAGGTCCCATTATGCACTCCCAAATCCATCACTAAAGCATATTATTAAAAAAAATTACATTAGATGTCATTTAGCTGATGCTTTTATACAAAGCGACACATGGATTTGTTTTGTTTTTTAACCCGTAGTGTGCAGCCATAAGGGCGCCCGAGGAGCAGTTAAGGGTTGGGTGTCTTGCTCAGGGACACTTTGATGTGGGACATGGAGCAGCTGGGGTTTGAACTGCCAACCCTGCGGTTCCTGGCGCACCCACTCTACTCCATATTCCACAGCACCATTATTATTTTAAATTCTTGACTCAGCATAGAGGAGCCCTGGAGGAGCCCTACAAAATATAATATAGACTGTACACGGTAGAGGTCCAGCCTGAATATGTGTTTTGATTGAGTTACTAAACCCTTACTCATATAGACCCACGGTTTATTCAGTCTTATAGACCTTATAGGAACATCCAATCCTGGTTGGAGCAAACAAATGAGAATGCAGTTACATGCACTCTCCTGTGAATGTTATGGCCAATAATGTTGTGAGATAAGGTGGAGGGACTTTGTTAAACCAGCCTGCATATCAGATTTTGACATGGGGAAAACTGTTGATTTCAATTCAAGTTTTTATTGGGATTAGTTTTATAATTCCTCTACTTTTGCGGTTGTGACTTACATCCTGATGTGTGTGTCAAGTCAAGTCTCACCTTCCTTCATTATCAAGCATTGTCTGCCGAACAATATTATACTCTTGATCACCTGCCAGCTGGGCCTACTTAACCATAATACCATATGAAATGAAAGTCAAAGGGACGTTAACTTTCACTTTCTATTTTATGCGACACACCTGAAGTACCCACAGTTGCTTCTGGTGCACTTTAACGTTGCCATTCGAACTTATACATTACGACAGTGGTTACCAAGCTTTGTCAACTCAGTCAGGGCCCCCTTTGAGGATATAGGAACAAAAGGGAACAGCCATTACCATGAACGCTACGAACCAACAGTGTAACAGTACAAGGTCAATAGCTTTCACAAAACAACACATACAGTGAAATCAGATCTTGTTTATCATCTTGAGTTAACAGACCAGCAGGACCTTTAAAAATACATTTTGAATTTATATTCACATTTGTAAATCTCCTTGTTCTTCATTCAAACGACGATTACCCGACAACGTGATGCATTATTTGACTATTCTGCATCAGCTTCAACACACAGAGCACTATTTTTTGTTATTTAAATATTTCCCCCTGGTGGATTACTCTCAGTACATCGGTAAAATCAATGAAAGCTAAGGAAACAAAACCTAGTTTAACTTTTATGCGTCAAAACTACCATATACCAGCACACCAGCTTTCAACAAAAACCACCAATAATGAAATCGGACCTTGTTTATCATTTTGAGTTTCTTCATCACAGCTCCGAGGCCACAGAGCATACCTGTTAGACTTTCTCACTTCAATGACTCAATCGCAGACCCAGGTTGCAAAAAACACAAAACAAATTTATTTTTATTTTTCAAAACCGAATTTGCAAAAATCCAAAAAGGGCAAAAACACAGAGGGTCCAAAATCAGAAAACTCTTTAAGCTGTCAAGTGTGGTGGAAATTTGTGGATTTAGCCCATGTGAGAAATCAAAAGTATCTTGAGCTTGCTTTGTGATTAAGTATTTATTACTAACTAGAATATAGGAAAAAGATAAAGAATACAGAAATCATCAGCACAAGTCGTAAGCACAGACAGAAGTCAAATGACTACAATTCAGCTGAAAAGGGACAGATGTTCCTTCCCCCAAAAGGAGCAGGAAGATCTGACAAAGTTGAAGAGGAGAACAGGAGCTTATATACACGTCAGAGAGGTTTGTGGTGCCTCAGGACAGGACAGCCCACCCCTCAAAGAGGAGTGTTGGAAAAGTACCAGATGATGCAGGGGTGACCCTGTGACCCTCCCTTTATGGACCCAGACAATCAACAACATCTAAAAGGTCAGCCAGGGCACGTATGGTTTCATCTGTGTCTTATCTCACCCTGGACTGCCTTAAGTCACCGGCTCACATCAAAGGTCACATTCCTGAGAGCCTCACCCCACGCAGGCTCAACAATTTTCCCCCAACATCAAGCATTTAAAAAATGCAGGTTCAGGCATAGATCCTTCACAAACCGAATAACAATCCGACAGGGGACAACAGAAAGCGACACCTATAGGAGGGGTAACTAACAAGACACAGGGAGAACTAATCAGGCAAACAATCAGGGGACAGGTGAGTGACAACAAGGCCGGGATGCAGCAGAGGGCAGAGTCTACGGACAATGACAGAAAGACAGCAAACACATGACGAAATAAACAAGCCGGGGGAAACACGTGGTTCCGCAGTGGCAAAGCCCCGGGGATTGATGAGATCCGTCCAGAGATGCTAAAAGCAATGGGTGTTGGGGGGCTGTCTTGGATGACACGCCTCTTCAACCTTGCGTGGAAGTCTGGGACAGTGGCAGACCGGGGTGGTGGTACAACTCTTCAAAAAGGGGGACCAGAGAGTGTGTGCCAATTACAGGGGTATCACATTACTCAGCCTCCCTGGTAAAGTCTACTCTAAGGTGCTGGAAAGGAGGGTTCGGCCGATAGTCGAACCAAGGATTGAAGAGGAACAATGCGGTTTTCGTCCTGGAACGATGGACCAGCTCTTCACTCTTTCCAGGATCATGGAGGGGGATTGGGAGTATGCTCATCCTGTCTACATGTGTTTTGTTGACTAGGAAAAGGCTTATGACCGGTCCCCGGAGAGAAAATGTGGGTGGTGCTGAGTACGGGGTGAAGGGGTCCTTACTTGGGGCCATCCAATCCTTGTACGGCCAAAGCGAGAGCTGTGTTCGGGTGCTCGGCAGTAAGTCGGAGGCGTTTCCGGTGGGGGTTGGCCTTCGCCAGTGCTGCGCCTTGTCACCAATCTTGTTTACCAGCACACCAGCTTTCACCAACCACCAATAATGAAATTGTTTATCATGAATGTCTCCCCCTGGTGGATTACTCTTGGTACGTCGATGACATCAATGAAAGCTAAGGAAACGAAACCTAATTTTCTTTCATTTCCATTCTCTGCTGCATCCTTCTGTCGCATTCAAGCTTCGGAATCCGAGGAAACTGCTGCTCTGTTCCTCGTTTCACACAGTCTCCTCCCGGGATCCACGCAGTCACCATCATGAACACTCTGAACCAACAGTATGAGGAGAAGGTGCGTCCCTGCATCGACCTCATCGACTCTCTTCGCTCTCTGGGAGTAGAGAAGGACTTGGCGCTGCCTGCTATCGCCGTGATCGGAGACCAGAGCTCGGGGAAGAGCTCCGTGTTGGAGGCGCTGTCAGGTGTGGCTCTGCCAAGAGGAAGTGGTAAGTTAGTCACTGAACAACTATTAACCACTATTTGCATTTCTCCACTTTTGGAGAAAGGTACAAATTAATATATAGGTTGGCCTGAATCCATCATCGCTGATCTTAACAAACCTTAACATTACTAGTTTAGCAGTTGCTTGGTTTTGCCCTGATGTGAGGATTGATGTAATGACTCAAAATGAGGCTGTTTTTCAGCCTTATATTTAGATGCCAAACGGGAGTGGTAAGTTAATCAGTGAAAAACTATTAACTACTATTTGCATTTCACTGTATATCTAGGTTGGCTTGGATCCATCATCGCAGATCTTAATAAACTCCTTTACAGCTAAATAAAGCATTACTAGTTTAGCAGTGGTTTGGTTTTGCCCTGATGTGAGGATTGATGTAATGACTCAAAATGAGGCGATTTAGATTACGTGTTGTCTGATACAAAGTGTCATGTGTTGATTAAAGGAAAAATAACAAACATTTTAAATTGGCACTCATTGGTTTTAGCCCATGGGGTCCAAGAACCACAACCAACTGAAAGTGATGTAAGAAAGAAATAACTGTGTGTCAGTAACAGGTAGGCAGAGGCAGGACCCAAACGCAGACAAAACTTAATTAATTCAAAAATCAAACTGCAGAGAGGCAAACCGCAGCCAGGAAACAGGAACAGGAAAGACATTCAGGGTAGAACATTTAATGACGGAACAAGGGACAAAAGACTGCGAGATGGACATTTCCAAAACCCAAATTTCTGGTTTAGCAGGTTTGCGGGGACCATGACAACTATAAAACAAACATGAAGCAATGAACGAAGCAAAAATGTTTGCAAACTGCACTCACGGGTGCTATGAAGATGAGATAATCCCACTTATTGAGAGTAGATTTCAACTCATCATTCACTCTTCATTAATTAAGGCATTGTGACAAGATGTCCTCTCGAGCTGAAGATGAAGAGAAGGAGAGAAGGAGAAGAGTGGTACGGGAAAATAAGCTACCAGGACTATGAGGAAGAGATAAAAGACCCTGCCGATGTGGAGAAACTGATAAGAGAAGGTACATTATATACAGTTCTTTTTAATGGTAAAAAATTGTAAAAAAAAAAAAGGAATTTTGAAACTACTCATTTTTCTTTTAGGTTTTAGTGATCAGCGCTTCAACCATGTCCTCTCTCTCCAGCTCAGGTCAAATTGGCAGGGATCGGGGTTGGGATCAGTGATGACCTCATCAGTCTAGAGATCGCCTCTCCTGATGTTCCTGACCTGACACTCATTGACCTGCCCGGCATCACCAGGGTGGCTGTAAAGGGACAGGCTGAGGACATTGGAGACCAGGTATTCTAGTTCAGTGTCACCAAAACAATTTCATAGGGACAATAGATTTGATAGAAAGTTTAAAAAAATAATGGCTGTGAGATTCATGGTAGAGATTTGCTAGTTCTATGAGTTATAGCTATATAACCACGGGAATTAATACTTTCAGATAAAGACACTGATCCAGAGGTTTATAACAAAACAAGAGACCATCAGCTTGGTGGTTGTTCCGTCCAATGTGGACATAGCAACCACAGAGGCTTTGCAGATGGCACGGGAGGTGGATTCTTCTGGAGACAGGACTTTGGGTAAATGGGGCAGATTCTATAAAAGAGACCACTTGGACAAGTTACATCACTGTTAGTTTACTGTCTGTTTCCCCTTCTCTCTCTCTCAGGTATCTTGACCAAGCCTGACCTGGTGGACAAAGGCGCAGAGGAGGGGGTGGTTGATGTTGTCCGTAATTTGGTCATCCATCTGAAGAAGGGCTACATGATCGTCAGGTGCAGGGGTCAGAAGGAGATCACTGACAGGGTTTCTCTCACTGAAGCCACAGAGAGAGAAAAAGCTTTCTTCCACGATCATGTGCATTTCAAGTGAGTTCTTTATTTCTGGGCAGTTATGCAACTAATGATTTTCAGTTTGACTGTTTTTTTTACTTTCTAGTCAGTAATCTTCCATTTTTTTCTCTAGGGTTCTCTACGATGAAGGCCATGCAACGGTTCCTAAACTGGCTGAAAAACTCACCCTTGAGCTGGTGCATCATATCCAGGTGAACACTTCCCAGCGCCTCGGCATAGTGGTTTGCTCCTGATTACTTTACCCATTTCAGGTTTTAACATCTTTTCTGTAATTTGCAGAAATCTCTACCTCAACTAGAAAAGCAGATAGAGATGAAACTAACAGAGACCCAAGAAAAGCTTGAAAAATGTGGCAGTGGACCCCCACTTGATGCAGCTGAGAGACTCGGTTTTCTCATTGACGTGAGTTGTCTTGCTGTCAAAACACTGCACCTCCTTCGTTGGATTTAATTCGCACTCTTCTGAATCTCAACCTGTTTTGTTTAGAGAGTGGCAGCGTTTACACAGGAAGCTATCAGCCTCAGCACCGGGGAAGAAGTCCAATTTGGAGACCGACTCAATATCTTTGCCACACTCAGACAACAGTTTACGGGTTGGAAAAATACTATAGTGAATTCTGGAGTAATATGTAAGTGCATCAACAACCTGGTCATTATGTAATAGATTTGCTTTGTTTTCCATATTACACAATTGTAGCGTAAAATGTGAACCTTTTGAATAACATTAAAATACATTTTTTTTTGTAATTTCCCTCAGTATGAAAAGATTACCCCACACCGCCGGATAGATTACTGCCAATTCAGTGTCAGCCTTCTTTGGTTCTACTTTTTATGTCACAAATTCCCCCCCATTGCAGTCAACCTGGATATTGAGAGAGAAGTGAATCAGTATGAAAAGAGGTACCGTGGGAGAGAACTTCCGGGATTCATAAACTACAAGACCTTTGAGGACATGGTCAAGGAGCAGATCAAAAAGCTGGAAGTACCTGCTGTCCTGAAGCTCAAGGAAGTGACAGGCACGTCATATTATGATGCTGCAATGATTGCAAGCCAGATACATATTTAACACCTGAAAGTTATTTTTGGATCTTGCATTGCCTCAGTGGTGCTTTCTTTTTTAGACCTTGTGATGAAAGAGCTGTTTGAGTTGGCAGAGAGCAGCCTTGTTGGATTTCCTAATCTCATCAAAATAGCTCAGGTATACTTTTCATTTCCAATATACAGTATATGACTGAACATTGTGAATATTTATTGATCATTTGTATGTCCCGTAGCTAAAGATCAACGCCATCATAAAGGAGAAGGCGACTGCAGCGGAGTCCATGCTGAAGACTCAGTTTAAGATGGAAATGATTGTTTACACTCAGGACAACAGATACAGCAAGAAGCTGGTGAAACGCAAGAGGGAGCAAGATAAGCCTGGTTCATTTGGTATCAATGACAATGGGGGCACCTTGAAAGAGATGATTAAACACCTGAAGTCTTACTACAAAGTAAGTGTGGTGTACAGTACATACTGTACCTCACATTATTTAATACATCACATATTATATTTACCTCAAAAAGGTTGAAAAGAAAATACATATAGTTTGATCTGCACCTCCTTTCACTAATATAACAATCTCCCCTTTTCTTGTTTTGAAAGCTACGTTTAAAAACATTTTATTAAAAGACAAATTAAGTACATGGCTAAAATAAAACAAATTGACAGCTAAGAATATCTATTTATTATGGGGACTATGAATGTCAGTAGAGATCAATTGCTCTGCTATATATAAGCAGAGTAGATTATTTCTTACAACTTCCAATACAAACCATGTACATTAATGGTCTCAACCAAATACAAATAATTTTGTTATATTGACAGATACACATATGCATGACACTCTGACGTTTTCCTGTCTCAACCACAGATTGCTGGTCAGCGACTGGCTGACCAGATCCCGATGATCATCCGCTACCAGGTGATGCAGGAGTGTGCCGTCCAGCTGCAGAGGGAGATGCTGCAAATGTTTCAAAACCACGGGAACACAGAGTTTCTCCTTCATGAGGACCGTGACATAAAAACAGACAGAATCGTCAATCAGAATTGCATCAAGCGATTGTCAGCGGCACGCATTCTGTTAACTGACTTTAGTCTGAACACATACAACTTCAACCAAGGGAGTAGGTTTGGTCCCACCAAGGGAAGCTACACAACAACCCACCCAGTACCTCCCACAGCCACCCCTGTGATGGTGACTGCTGCAAAAAGCAAAAAGCAAAAATACCACCACTAAATTCGGACAGTCAAATGGTTAATTAACATAATACTGTAATACTAAGTAAGTATTAAGGAACCAAGAGAAAGACTTACAAAGCCTATTTTAACAAGCAGTCTTTTGGAAGAGCTCCATTGTCTGATGAATAAATTCACAAAAAATGTATTACTTAATTGTTATCTTGCAATAGAATAATAAAGAAGAAGAAAAAAAGCATGTCCTTTTGTCATCAATGAATGCATTACAGAAAATATGCATTCAAATGAATTTTGTAATTCCCACGTTTTATTCCCAAAGGCTTATCGGGGTTGGTTTGTGCAGATTAAGGCCCACATCAGAGTGTTTGGTGTGCCATCTTGGTCGCATTGCCAGGTCCTTGCTCTCATGCAGCACCACATCACATTAAAGCTGTCTACAACTTGAGGTCAGGACCAGAAGTAGCACTGGAAGTTCTCCAGAAGTAGAATGTAGCATTAAATGGAAGAACTCAAGTTAAGAACAAGTACCTCGAAATGTACAACATTAGTACTTTCAGGTATTGTTGGGTAAATAAGCAAGCATCAACCATTTGAAGGCAGCATGTTACACCCCCAGCTCAAAGACTGCCACATGAATGTTAGGTTAAATAAATCTCTAATTATAATATATACTGTAAATAAGCACATTTACAAAGACTAAACAAAAATGGAAAGTCTCCAATCAGGAAAGTCAGTATCTGTGGAAATATTTGAAGTAGAAAAAAACTACGGGATGCTGTTCAGGTGCTGAGTCTTTATAGCCTGAACTCCTTCCACGCTCAGGTGTGACCAACAACCTGAGTGACGGAAAGAGATGGAAGTCAGCTACAGTTCCAGGGAAAACTATGCATTTCGTTCCACATCATATACCAGCACACCAGCTTTCACCAAAAACCACCAATAATGAAATCGGACCTTGTTTATCATTTTGAGTTTCTTCATCACAGCTCCGAGGCCACAGAGCATACCTGTTAGACTTTCTCACTTCAATGACTCAATCGCAGACCCAGGTTGCAAAAAACACATACAAATTTATTTTCATTTTTCATAACCAAATTTGCAAAAACACAGAGGGTCCAAAATCAGAAAACTCTTTAAGCTGTCAAGTATTTAAAACATGCAGGTTCAGGCATTGATCCTTCACAAATCGAATAACAATCCGACAGGGGACAACAGAAAGCGACACCTATATATAGGAGGGGAAACTAACAAGACACAGGGAGAACTAATCAGGCAAACAATCAGGGGACAGGTGAGTGACAACAAGGCCGGGATGCAGCAGAGGGCAGAGTCTACGGACAATGACAGAAAGACAGCAAACACATGACGAAATAAACAAGCCGGGGGAAACACGTGGTTCCGCAGTGGCAAAGCCCCGGGGATTGATGAGATCCGTCCAGAGATGCTAAAAGCAATGGGTGTTGGGGGGCTGTCTTGGATGACACGCCTCTTCAACCTTGCGTGGAAGTCTGGGACAGTGACAGACCGGGGTGGTAGATTGGTAGTACGTTCATCCAGTCTACAAGTGTTTTGTTGACTAGGAGAAGGCTTCCCCCGAGAGAAAATGTGGGTGGTGCTGCGGGAGTACGGGGTGAGGGGGTCCTTACTTAGGGCCATCCAATCCCTGTACGCCCAAAGCCAAGAGCTGTGTTCGGGTCAAAGTCAAAGGCGTTTCCGGGGGGGGGGGGTCGGCCTTTGCCGGGGCTGCGCCTTGTCACCAATCTTGTTTGTGGTCTTCATGGACAGGATATCGAGGCGCAGTCGGGGGGAGGAGGGTCTACAGTTCGGGGGGTTGCGAATCTCATCGCTGCTTTTTGCAGATGATGTGGTCCTGATGGCATCTTCCGTCTGTGACCTCCAACTGTCACTGGAGCGTTTCGCAGTCGAGTGTGAAGCGGTCGGGATGAGGATTAGCACTTCTAAATTTGAGGCCATGGTTCTCAGCAGGAAACCGATGGATTGCCTACTCAAGGTAGTGAAGGTGTCCTTACCCCAAGTGAAGGAGTTCAAGTACCTCGGGGTCTTTTTCACGAGTGAAGGGAAGATGGAGTGTTAGTTTGGCCGGAGAATCGGAGCAGCGGGGGCGGTATTGCACTCGCTTTACCGCACCGTTGTGACGAAAAGAGAGCTGACCGGGAAGGGAAAGCTCTCGACCTGCCGGTCCCGGGGAAGACCCAGGACTAGGTGGAGAGATTATATCTCTGCACTGGCCTGGGAACGCCTTGGGATCCCACAGTCAGAGCTGAAAGGGAAGTTTGGGGTCCCCTGCTGGAGCTGTTGCCCCCGCGACCCAATCCCGGATAAGCAGTTGAAGATGGATGGATGGATGGATGGAAACACGTGGCATAACACAACACACAGCGATCACAATGAAAAAATGTCTCCTAGACCCCAGGGATCTTTTCTGAATTATTTTTTAAAATAAAGTTTCCCCCTTGTGGATTACTCTCGGTACATCGGTAAAATCAATGAAAGCTAGAGAAACAAAACCTAGTTTAACTTTTATGCGTCAAAACTATCATATACCAGCACACTAGCTTTCACCAACCACCAATAATGAAATTGTTTATCATGAATATCTCCCCCTGGTGGATTACTCTCGGTACGTCGATGACATCAATGAAAGCTAAGAAAACGAAACCTAATTTAACTTTTCATTTCCATTCTCTGCTGCATCCTTCTGTCGCATTCAAGCTTCGGAATCCAAGGAAACTGCTGCTCTGTTCCTCGTTTCACACAGTCTCCTCCCGGGATCCACGCAGTCACCATCATGAACACTCTGAACCAACAGTATGAGGAGAAGGTGCGTCCCTGCATCGACCTCATCGACTCTCTTCGCTCTCTGGGAGTAGAGAAGGACTTGGCGCTGCCTGCTATCGCCGTGATCGGAGACCAGAGCTCGGGGAAGAGCTCTGTGTTGGAGGCGCTGTCAGGTGTGGCTCTGCCAAGAGGAAGTGGTAAGTTAGTCACTGAACAACTATTAACCACTATTTGCATTTCTCCACTTTTGGAGAAAGGTACAAATTAATATATAGGTTGGCCTGGATCCATCATCGCTGATCTTAACAAACCTTAACATTACTAGTTTAGCAGTTGTTTGGTTTTGCCCTGATGTGAGGATTGATGTAATGACTCAAAATGAGGCTGTTTTTCAGGCTTATATTTAGTTGCCAAACGGGAGTGGTAAGTTAATCAGTGAGAAACTATTAACTACTATTTGCATTTCACTGTATATCTAGGTTGGCTTGGATCCATCATCGCAGATCTTAATAAACTCCTTTACAGCTAAATAAAGCATTACTAGTTTAGCAGTGGTTTGGTTTTGCCCTGATGTGAGGATTGATGTAATGACTCAAAATGAGGAAATTTAGATTACGTGTTGTCTGTTACAAAGTGTCATGTGTTGATTAAAGGAAAAATAACAAACATTTTAAATGGCACTCATTGGTTTTAGCCCATGGGGACCAAGAACCACAACCAACTGAAAGTGATGTAAGAAAGAAAGAACTGTGTGTCAGTAACAGGTAGGCAGAGGCAGGACCCAAACGCAGACAAACTTTACTTACTTTATTAATTCAAAAATCAAACTGCAGAGAGGCAAACCGCAGCCAGGAAACAGGAACAGGAAAGACATTCATGGGTAGAACATTTAATGATGGAACAAGGGACAAAAGACTGCGAGATGGACATTTCCAAAATCCAAATGTCTGGTTTAGCAGGTTTGCGGGGACCATGACAACTATAAAACAAACATGAAGCAAGGAACGAAGCAAAAATGTTTGCAAACTGCATTCACGGGTGCTATGAAGATGTGATAATCCCACTTATTGAGAGTAGATTTCAACTCATCATTCACTCTTCATTAATTAAGGCATTGTGACAAGATGTCCTCTCGAGCTGAAGATGAAGAGAAGGAGAGAAGGAGAAGAGTGGTACGGGAAAATAAGCTACCAGGACTATGAGGAAGAGATAAAAGACCCTGCCGATGTGGAGAAACTGATAAGAGAAGGTACATTATATACAGTTCTTTTTAATGGTAAAAAAATGTTTTAAAAAAAAAGTAATTGTGAAGCGACTTATTTTTCTTTTAGGTTTTAGTGATCAGCGCTTCAACCATGTCCTCTCTCTCCAGCTCAGGTCAAATTGGCAGGGGTCGGGGTTGGGATCAGTGATGACCTCATCAGTCTAGAGATCGCCTCTCCTGATGTTCCTGACCTGACACTCATTGACCTGCCCGGCATCACCAGGGTGGCTGTAAAGGGACAGCCTGAGAACATTGGAGACCAGGTATTCTAGTTCAGTGTCACCAAAACAATTTCATAGGGACAATAGATTTGATAGAAAGTTAAAAATACAATGACACTCAATGACAGTGAGATGTGTGGTAGGGTTAGTTGTTTCTATGAACTAACCCCGGGAATTCAAACTTTCAGATAAAGCGACTGATCCAGAGGTTTATAACAAAACAAGAGACCATCAGCTTGGTGGTTGTTCCGTCCAATGTGGACATAGCAACCACAGAGGCTTTGAAGATGGCACAGCAAGTGGATCCTTCTGGAGACAGGACTTTAGGTAAACGAGCTGATTCTACAAACAAGTTTCTTTTTCCTTAGGTAGTTCATTGCTTGTTTGCTGTAGCATTGTTGCTGGCAGCAGACTTGATGAAATGAAAATGAATTTACCTCATGATATTTTATAAATTATTAATAATTCAATGTACTTTTTTATAAATCTCTACATTAGTATGAAAAACATTATGACATCCAGATTGTATCATTGACATTTCGGGTGTATAATACTTCCGTGGATGTCGGCAACGTTGAGCTTCTGTCTCTTAGGTATCTTGACCAAGCCTGACCTGGTGGACAAAGGCGCAGAGGAAGCGGTGGTTGAAGTTGTCCGTAATGAGATCATCCACCTGAAAAAGGGCTACATGATCGTCAGGTGCAGGGGTCAGCAGGAGATCACCGACAGGGTGACCCTTACTGAAGCCACAGAGAGAGAAAAAGCCTTCTTCCACGATCATGCGCATTTTGAGTTAGTTACTTATTTTTCGGTGATCTTAACCCCTTTTTTTCATGGTAAATTATTCGTTCTGGGATTTGCATTACACATACACTGTACACAATGACTTTTTCTTCTTGCTCAAGCACTCTCTACAATAATGGCCATGCTGGTATTCCTAAACTGGCGGAGAAACTCACACTTGAGCTAGTGCATCACATTGAGGTAGGTACTTAATTAGCAGTGTGCGATACATTAACTTGTTGGCTGTGGTTGTTACATTTATTTACCCATTTTTGATTTGTAGATAACTCTGCCTCGGCTGGAAGAGCAGATAGAGGAGAAACTAGCAGAGACTCAAAGAGAAATGGAGAGATACGGCGTCGGACCCCCAACCGATGCAGCTGAAAGACTTTTCTTCCTCATGGATGTGAGCTCCCTGATTCTTCATAACTTTCACCTGGCTACAAAGACAAATGCTTACCACCATGTATTAATTTGTTTGTTTGGGCTTCAGAAAGTGACAGAATTCACACAGGATGCCATCAGTCTCACTACAGGAGAGGAGCTCAAGTGTGGAGACAAGCTCAATGTCTTTTCTACACTCCGAGAAGAGTTCGGGAAGTGGAATGCCCACCTGGACCTCTCAGGAGAGAAGTGTATGTATCGGTTCGGTCTGATCTACAGATGTCCACCAGCAAGACTCTGAAACATTTCCGGTGTGTTACAGTTAACGACAGGATTGAGAGGGAGGTGGTGGGATATGAGGAGAAGTACCGTGGAAGAGAACTGCCCGGCTTCATCAACTACAAGACCTTTGAGGTTATGATCAAGGAGCAAATCAAACAGCTGGAAGAGCCGGCTGTCAAGAAGCTCAAGGATATAAGCGGTGAGAATAGTATGACTGAATGTATGATAGATTTGTCCAGTATTATGTTCTTCGTTAATATTCAAGTTTTCTCTTGATGCTGTCCTGCCACCAGTGAGGTGCTCGTGGTGTTCGCGCCTGTTTATCTTCTTGTATCTCCATTTCTTCCAGACATGATTAGAAAGGCTTTCATTCAGCTGGCCCAGAGTAGCTTCATTGGATTTCCTAACCTCATTAAAACAGCCAAGGTACTATGAGTGTCTTTAAGTTTAATTAGCATCATTTTTCTGGCGGTGTTCAGAGTAATCAGAATCTTATTTCCTAGACGAAGATCGAAGCCATCAAGCAAGAAAAGGAGTCCACTGCTGAATCAACGCTGAGAACCCAGTTCAAGATGGAGCTGCTTGTTTACTCTCAGGACCGGACGTACAGCAACAGCTTGAGTGACAGGAAGAAGGAAGAGGTTGACGAGGACGAAGAAAAATATGATCAAGACAGAAGTATTGTATATTGCATGGACAATCGTGCGACGATCCAGGAGCTAATGTTGCACCTTCAATCATATTACAAAGTATGTTTCAATGTAGACCAATGACTCCTGACAAAACAATGACAGAAATGTTAAGACCCTGCTGACGCTTAGGTTTTCTTTCTTTTTCCTCTTTCAGATCGCCGGACAGCGTCTGGCTGACCAGATCCCGCTGGTGATCCGCTACCAGATGTTGCAGGAGTCTGCTGTCCAGCTGCAGAAGGAAATGCTGCTGATGCTTCAGGACAAGGATAATTTTGACTTCTTGCTGAAGGAGGATTTCGACGTAGGCACCAAGAGGGCCAATTTGCAGAGTCGCCTTAAGCGTCTCACAAAGGCCCGAAAATTCCTGGTGGAGTTCTAGTAGAGATCAGGCAAAGGCACAGTTTGAGCAATAATGTTGGGGGATCATCAAATTCTATATTTTTACTTCTGGTTTGCGCGTGTCAAAGTCTAGAGGTGTTTTATATGGATTTTTATATAATTGCGGGTTCCACGCCCTCTGGGAATCCTCGTCTCCTGTCATGGTTGTGCAAGAGTGCACGTGCAGACTACCATACCACGGACCATAAACAATGGTTTTAGTTAATTAGTTAATCCATTGTACTTTCTTTTTTTAGATCTTGGCATTACAATAAATGAGCCCTTTGTTATAGGTGAGATGAAAATATGTGTATTTTAGGCCAAGCACACTAATGGTTTCAGTGACCTCCTAAACCAACATGAGCTGTGCATGTAGGGCCAAAGTCTCACACCATGCGTCTGCTATCCCGCTTTTATTTGTCAAATGCATTATGAATGTGGTTGAAGTATCGCTATCATATTTGTGTATACTATCCAGTGTAAAATGTACACATTTTCTTTTGATTACATAGATTGGTTACATCTATGTCATTGTGGGGTTGTTTTAGGTTTGTTCTGTAATTTAAAAGGGAAAGAAATCAAATTGCTGTTTTTTCAATCAATAAAAAAAAATCAAAAAGGGCACGAGACGTTCAATTACTTTCATGTTTCTTCAACAGCCTATTTTCTATAGAGTTTGAAATAGTCTAATTGAGCTTATCCATCTTGCTTTTACAAGTCTTTTTTTTTTTAGTTGTTATATATTCTTATATGGCCATTAGTAATTTAAAGATAGTGTAGAACATAAAATGATTTAATACTAAAATGATCAAAATGCTTAATTTTAAGATGCTTGGGATCTGATTAAATAGAACACTACAGATTTTCAACAACCAACTAAAATACTTGAACACTATAGTGCCTGGTACTGACTTTGTTTTTGGATGTGGCAAACTTCACACAAATTTGTATGAAACTGTACCACCTAGTGGCTAAGACAACCGCACAGAACATTTAGGATTTACAGCAAAGCACCAAATGTAACGTAATCCCCAATAATTCTAGAAATCTATAACATCCTAATCAATAAGCATGTGGTCTTCCACCTCCAGCAATGAACTAGCTGCATCAGTGATGCAAATAAAAAGCTTAGTTAGTCCAGACATCCTGTCAAACAACGACCTCCCTGTAAAGATGACATATTTCAGGTTTGAATGGGTCAACGACAATACGTGTTACAGTGCTATGAGCGGTCGGACGTTGAGGAAAGTGTTATGTAAGTAAAAACCTTTTTCCATCAAGTTCAGGCATGCGTCGCAAAAGCCACTAGTTTGGTAAAAACAAGAAACATGTGGACAAGTCTACTTTATTCAAAAATACATACAAAGCGGATTCAAAAAGAATACTTTTAAAAAGGGTTTAATTCAGGTCAGTCAGGATCTCTCCAGGTTCATTCACCATTCTGTGCTGGGCTCCCCTGGATGTTCTCGTCATTGTCCGATTTCTCATCATCTAAGAAAAGAAAAAAAGTATAAGTAGGTGTGTCTACTTTTCCTAAATGGGACAGAATATAAACAGATCAATAGCTATTGAGAATAAAGACGATGACAAATTGAAAAGCGAAAAACAATTCCAAGCACGGCGCCCACCACGCGTGTGTTTACTCACTCTCAAGTGTCTGCTGTAGTTCCTGTATGGTACTGAGTAGCACATGGAACTGCTTCTTCCTCAACTCCAGCTGTGTGTGCAGAAAGGTAGAGATGACCGAGCTCATTATAGGCTAGAATAATCAAACTTCTATTTCTGACTTATTGTCCAGATAGTACAAAATTAAGAGAGAATAAAACACAGACAAAATCACAGATAGAATACATATACCTACGAATGCTTTATGAATAGACAGCTGTACCAATGTCGCCACAGCAGGGACTGGTAGCGTGTAGTACTAAACTTTATGTTTGATAAACTCAAGATGATTTCATTTTCATAGATATTAACCTGGCAGATAAATGTATACACAAAAGTTCTTAAAACAGCTTGGAAAGTATTAACTCCTGCAGCCACAAACATTTCACAGGCACTACACCACCTTGGTCTCTTCTATAATATTCTCACGGCTTCATTATGAGCTACTTTACTTTTTTGCAATTAGACCAGGAGTGTGCAGTGGTGTACGATCTCCTCCAAGAGACTCAATCCGTACACATACTAAACTTGTGTGAGAGAACGTTTGCGTGTGCATACATCCTACGACATTGCCAATAGATATCTTCATCATCGGTCATCTGTTCTGTAATGTCCAAGATATTTTACCTTAACACAGAGGTAATTATCGGACAATTTGAAGTCGGGACATTTTAGAAGTGTGTCTTCTATGGTTCTACAGATCAAGACAGCACTCTTACTGGAATTGTATTTTATATTGTGTTCCACACCATAGACAGAAAATACAGCGGCACTGCAACTCCATGGCCTCTGAATCCAGATTGTCTGCATACATAATATGATTAACTAGGGTATTTCCAATCATGCACCCAGTATTACAGGCTTTCCCCTGCTAGAACAGAAGACATGATGAACGTTCATACCTTCGCATCTACGTTCTCCTTTATGTGAGACAATTGCTGGAGTTCTTTATCAAGTGCCTCCAACTGTCTGTAGATGATCAAACCAACATTAAAGACGTTATCTGATACAATGAAACCTCTACCACTCAAAGCAAAATAATTCCATATATGAATGCAACTAATAAGCAGGAGCCTCACTTTAGTGTTTCATGTCGGTCTGGGTGTTGCTGGATAACCTTGGCTAAAGCATCGTACTCTGGAACAATAAGGGAAAATGTAAATGTTAGACAAGCAGAGGTAAATAATCATATTAATTAATTAATATTAATTAATTCTGACAGCCTGTATTGCCGCCGCCACCACCACCTGTATTTTCTAAATCGAAGTACGATTAGAGTGTATGAGAAGAAAATGCAGGACATTTCAGTTTTCAGAAAAGTATGTTAAACTTTTTAATGTCTTTGGGTTTTACATCAACATAGTGGGACCCACCTCCATTATTCTTTCTCAGTATACATAAGTGGTTTGCACCTGTATTTATGCCTAAACCAACACTGAAAACATTCATACCTTGGCGATTTTTCCGTATTCTCTTTGCCCTCTGGATTTCCTTTTTGCATTCTGCTATCTTGTCGTGCGCAGATGTGATGTTTTGTTCTACAATGTCGACACAGTGTTGATATGGTTGTGATAAAAAGGTAGTAATGATGAAATACAGGAATGTATGACTTATACGTTATACACAAGAATATTCAGCTATTTTTAAAGACACTTAATTAACCATGGGGTCAAAAAAAAAAAGTCGTATTGTCTACCTATATTAGTGTAGATTTTCTCATAATTCTCCATTTCGCGAAGATTCATGTCGTAAACCATCAACGTCTTCCCCATGGAGAACTCACACTGGGCCAGAATGCCCATCATCCTCTGGTACTGGGTGAACCTGAACACAGTTACAAACAAGACTTGAATTAAATTCTTGGGGACAAAGTGCAAGCATGTGGTCTGCAGACTTCCCTTCACCGACCCTTCGTCCGGAGTCCCAGGAGAGTTGCACCATTTGGTGAAACTCTTGAGCAACACGTTGATTCGGCGGTCATCTCCAGCTCCGTCCCCGTCGATGAGAAGACGTTTACGAATAACCTCATCTGCAATGTATCAAAGAAATCAAAGAACCGTACAGATGCTTCCGGTACATTCAAAAGACACTGGGGATAACTGTTAGCTTAGGTTAGCTAACATCGCTGCTGTATATTTTCTCGATTAAGGAAGCTGCGTCTACGACCAAAATCGGATCGTTTGAGTACATTTGGGTACTAATGATCGTCGGTACAGACTTCTACTCGTGGCTTTCACCCGGGAGCAGAAATATTAAAGCTTTACTTACCATCTGTAACAGCACCCATTCTGTAGCTAATAAAACTTTATTGAACAACAGGAAGTGAACAAAGAAGTTCAGCCCGCCTCCGAGCTTAGATGGCAGTGATTGGCCACACAAGAGCTGAGCCACAGATAAAGGGGGTTTTACTGTCATTGTAATGGTAGAACGAAATTCAATTTAGTAGCTTTCTGCCAACCAAATTTTAGACCACTAAAAATGCATAAAAACGTTCTTCCTCTTCGTTTTGGCTTATGGCAGGTGGAAACTATCGTCAACCATTTGGTGGAAGAGGGTCAAAGGGAAAATCGGCAAAATAATCAGTATTTGTTATCAAATTTATGTACTCTATACTCACTGCACTCCTTCCCAGAACGTAACAAAATGTGTATTTGAAAGCTGTATGCATAACTTCAAGTTTTCGAGTATACAATACTCTTGACTGCAGATTGCTGACGTATTTGACAGACAAATTAGGTGACATTTGAGGCACGGCAAAATAATGATAAAATAATAAAGTACTTGCAATGTCAAATGTATTGAATGGCAATCATTTAGTCAGCTGAAAGTGTAAGTTGTTCTCAAAATAAAACAAAACATAAAGAAGGTTCGGATACCCTGCACATATTCCAATTCTCCCACTCTGATAGGCCCTAAGGAGCAATGGAAACCAAAACCACCGGACACAGAAACAGCTTCTTTCCACTGGCCATCTCTCTGATGAACAATGAATCAGTCAGACGGCCCCTTAATTGCACTATGATCGCTATCTGCACTTTCAACCCATACTCAATGTTGTAAGGTTATATACATACACTTTTTAATATATATTTATATTGTATAGTTGTTTTTCTACCTTTTTAGTTGGCATGTTGTCATTCATACATTCTTGTTTATTGAACATACTGTGTATGTATTTTGAAACGAAAAGTAACCGGAGTCAAGTTCCATGTATGCGTACACATGCAACAAAGGTGATTCTGATTTGATATCCCTGTCTAAAGGTCAAGGGATACATTTGTACAAAAACAAATCACCCTTGTAATGCACAGCAATTTAAAAACTTTTCACAGAATTTCCTTGTGTAGTGATCACATTGACCTTTGGTCCTTAATGGCGTTATGTATCATTAGAAATTCCAAAACGAAACCCTTTCACGGTGGAGAAGCTGCGTGCGTGCCTGCTGACCGCGCTGGCGCAGTGACGTCCCTGTCCCAGAATGCAGTCTGGTAAACAGACATGGAAGCACCAGGTGAAGACCTCCACAGAGGCTGAGCACTGCACTCGCTCTTTCCCACCGTCTTCTGTCTCCTTCGCCCTGTTCATCCAGTTGATATACACCCGCCTGGTGTCACGTTTACGTCTACAGCACCGAGAGCCTCGGTAAGAGTGAACTTGCCGTCGATCCGTGACGACTGCTAATGACTTCTGCTGTGCTGTCAGGCTCCTGCCAGCTTCCTCGCTAACGCTAGTCATGGCAGGCTACAGGCTTCAGCTAGCAGGCTAATGTAGCCACCACGGCTCCTTGGTAATGTTTGTGCCAGCCACAGACCCTCACTGGATGGACCTCGTTTTCATGACACAACTCATAACAGACCGCGTGTCTCTTTTCCCATGTCGAATCTACGACCAGCGTGTACCTTCTCCTTCCTACGTATTGACAGAAATGTTCATGTAACGTTACGTTAGTGAGGTAACGAGGGAGGTGGGAGCGAGGCTAGCCAGTAAAGCTGTCTGCTCTTGTTGGTCCCTGGTAGCTAATGTCAGCTAGCTTGTACAGTTGTCAACCACAAGGACAAGTTCTCCCATACTGAACAACTGAGTACATAATGTTCTAATGTCTGTCACGGCCTTTGAGCAACTTTATTTTTGGAGCCCAAACGCCTGAAATGTTTGATGTTGCAATGTAGCAAGCTGTTTGGAAGAACAATATTACAGTGTATTATACATTCACACTGATGCCATGGTCACAGCCTGTGTACGTAGAAATGTGCAAGGGATGGCTGCTGATCTTTGAATAGCAATAACAGGGATGTCATCTTGTAGTTTTGTCATCGTGTAGTTTTGGTTATCGTTGTATGGCTTTGCATTTTGCTTTAGCAAGTCATTTTCTACCTCTGTGAAGACATTACAATTAGTTAAGATATCTACAGAACAACAATCAGAATCTATTTCTTCTATCGCAGTGTTTAAAACGGATAACTGTGGCCCTGGAGAGGTTGGTTAGGGCATGTTCCTACTGGATTAGTTTACTGCATAGAAAATAAAAACTCGACGAGAAAGCCTGGGAGCACGGCGTTACCTTAGTTATAATTCTAACTTCGCCGAATCACTCTTATAAGACAAAACACAGTACCCACAACTGACTTGTCTTCTCTCAATGCTTGTGTTTTGTCTCTCTGTCGGTCTCCAGACTTCCGCTCCAGTGTGTGTGGCGGCTAACGATCACCAAAACTGATGAGGATCGGTTGATTGAGTTCAAATTAACTTCATTTTTTTCTTATTTTGCCAAGGTAAGATATCACAGCTACCTCTATTGAAAATACAAAATATTAATACTATACTAACCGATACTAATTGTGAGTTAAACAAATTTATAGTATTGTTTTCCAGCGAACCCACTACATTCAGATCTTCTTCAGGTTATAAATATTAAAGACAAACAACACAAATATTGTTGGCTTGGTTGTGTATATTAGAAACTAGAGTTCAAAACACATAATGAACATGATGAAATGAGTGTGCTACCCTTGGAGTGTTTGCTTGAACTTCTTTTAATGAAATATTCATTAGTATTCTTTTATCATGGGGCTTTTGTTATGGATTTGCCAGGCAGGAGTTACTCTTATCCCTTGGCCTCTGATTTAAGATCATTAACATTATTTTTAGATATAAATCTCAATGCATAGATAAGTCCCAGCCAGCAGACACAATGTCAGCATTGGCCAAACAAGGGGAAGAACTGGTTTGAAACAGTAGATGGCGTGTTGAGCCATTTTTTAGCCCATGAAATGCCTTTTTTAATGAATTTGGTAGAAATGTCAACATCAAAACCAGTAGTGTTTCATTGCTGTCATACATAATTAAGAGCTCAAAAACTTTTATTGTGCCGCACCTCTCGAATAGAGTATTTCCAGTATGTGATATTTAGCCTCTATTGGCTCCTTTGCACACCACACTACACATTGCGTGACATTACAGTGCTTGCCTAGAAGGGGCTAAAGTGGAAACCCTGATATTTTCAAAGAATTTGAATTTGCAATGCTTACAAACACACACACATTTCTTATTCTAACCCCCCTATATAGTCATTACACTTCATAGAGATGGACTAGTACTAAGACGTACATATTTCACGTGTTGGTCATTAATAACTACCTAAATGGGTAAATTTCACATTACAGCAAATAAATATGTTTAATGCATGCCTCTCAAAAATGTTTAATGTTTTTTTGTAATTGTGGGAAATCTACTTGAGATGTTGCACAGTTGTGTATATAGAGGAGGGGCGACTGTGGGTGAGTGGGGAGCGTGGTCCCAATCAGAGGGTTGGCGGTTTGATCCCAGGCCCGGTTAACCCACATGTCGATGTGTCGTTGGCAAGACACTTATTGCCACCATTTCTCCTGTATCTGTGACTACAGTGTGTGCATGTAAGTTACTGATGGGCAGGTAGCTCCTGTCATCAGTGTACGAATGGGTGAATGATGTCATGTAGTGTTAAAGTGCTTTGAGTGGTCGGAAGACTAGAAAAGTGCTATACAAGTACAGTCCATTTACCTTTAGAGTATCATCTGTTGACACTGTTTTCAAACAGAATGTAACAGTTATTTTAGTAAAATGAAATTAACTAGGTTTGTATCTATATTTTAGTGTGTTGTCACTCAACCTATAGCAAAAGCCCCTAGCATCATGCTTGTTATGCCTGCTCATCCAGTTGTTGTATGCATCCATATCACTGTTAAACCAGCACGGTGAAATGAAACTGACGAACCGGGTAACCTGAATGTAATGCGGGTTTAACTCTGCATGCCATTGTCAGATTTTTCTTCAGAGTTCTTGATCCATGTCTTCAGAAACCTTTAAGTGGCATTAACATGTGTCTTGGGTGAACCAATCTCAAGTGGAACCCAACCTCCCCGCCCCCGGCATTAGTTCTTGAGTGACAACTTGTCTTTAGGGTCTTTTATTCCTTGTGACACACTTTTCTGTTTCAAAAGACTAAATGCGGTTGTTTTCAACCAGTGAAAGGCAACAATGCACATCCCGTGTCTACTCTGCCGGATATGTAAAGAAGAAGATATCAAAATACATGGACTGGGTTTATATTTTGGGTTTTTTCCAGGCAGACCAACACACCCTTGTGATGTATCGCCATAGGATTTCAAAATGTTCAATCTGCATGGACAAATATGTTCAAATCCCTATACTACCATATTATTCAATATCCCAGAAAATGTATGCCAAAAATACCAGGAAATCCTACAGCATCTGGTCTCATTTCAAAGTATGCAAGCCAGCATGCTTTCACCTTTTTCTATATAGCATACATCTTTTTCTTGTGGCTTCAGATTTTGATTTTATTTCTTCAAAATTTGAGATATATATATATATAATATATATATATATATATATATATATATATATATATATTATATATATATATCAAAATTATTCAACCCCCCATTGCACATTAGGTTTATTGGTAAATATACAATTTCTCAGCTGTTTGCAATGAACAAATTACACAATAATTGTTTAAGTAGTTTAATGAAACTAATATTACAAAGGTTTTATCCAAATACAACACAAAATGCTACTTTTAATGACTTTAATGAATTTACTGCAGTCTCAAAATGATTCAACCCCTTTGTGACAAGCATTTTCAGTACTTAGTAGAGCACCCTTTGAAATGAGTCAACTCCCTGTCAAGGGCTTCATTAGTTCAGGTGTGCTTGAGATAGAACACATAAATACCTGGTCTGGCTAGGGGTTTGTTCAGAGTGACGTTTGATTGCATGTTAGAAATATGCAATCAAAGATCAGAAATAAGTCAAACGAATTGTCCAAAAAGTTCAGAGAAGCAATCATTGCCTTGCACAAACAAGGAAAAGGATACAAAAAGATAGCAAAAGCACTGAATGTCCCTAGAAATACAGTTGAAAGCATAGTTCGCAAGTTGAAGGAACAGTGGCTACACTACCTGGACGTGGCAGAAAGAGGAAGCTATCAGCGGCTGCCACCTGCAGCGTGTGGAGGGCACGATGGATTCAGTCAAATATCAGAAAATCTTAGGAAAAAACGGCATGCCGTCTGTGATGAAGCTGAAACTTGGGCGTCATTGGACCTTCCAACAGGACAATGATCCCAAGCATACCTCAAAGTCCACCAAGGCTTGGTTTCAGAAGAAGAAATGGAAGATTCTAGAGTGGCCATCAAATCGCCTGACTTGAACCCCATCGAAAATCTCAGGTGGGATTTGAAGAAGGCGGTTGTCAAAAGCACACCAAAGAATATTACTGAACTGGAGGCCATTGCCTATGAGGAATGGGCTAAGATTCCTCAGGAACGCTGTCATAAGCTGGTGTCTGGCTATGCATCACGTTTGAAAGGTCATAACAGCAAAAGGGTGCTTTACTAAGTACTGAAGATGCTTGTCATGAAGGGGTTGAATAATTTTGAGACTGCAGTAAATTCATTAAAGTCATTAAAAGTAGCATTTTGTGTTGAATTTGGACAAAACCTTTGTAATATTAGTTTCATTAAACTACTTAAACAATTATTGTGTAATTTGTTTATTGCAAACAGCTGAGAAATTGTATATTTTGCCAATAAACCTAATGTGCAATGGGGGGTTGAATAATTTTGATTGCAACTGAGATATATATATATATATATATATATAAATAAATAAATGAACGCCATGAACCTTGCTGATTTATAGCAAGGTTTAGGGCAAACCCAGACCCCCTCTGGAGGGGGTTTGAGTCATCGGCTCTCAATGCATTCTCACGTATTTAGGAGCATTCACACCTGTACTTTGAGCTGTCCACACGTGATCAGCTTCTTAATTGGAATTCCGATATATTGTTTTGGTCCAAAGACAAGTTTCTGAACTATACGCTTATTAGTAACTGGCCAAGGTCATTGTTGCTCAAGGCTCCTTAGGGTGCATGCCAAATGGAAATTAATTGAACTTTTCTGATTATTTGAGATGGAGAAAGAAAGAGTTGCATAGAACAACAATAATTCGCATCTTAATGGGATCATATATCATATAATGGGAAGGATACCAGCAGATGAAGACCGTAAATATGTCTGCCGTTTCAAGTCAAGTAACTTTCTTATTATTATAATTAGTATTTTTATTTTGTATCAGTCTCTAGACTAAATGTTATCTGTTAGAAGGTAGAAAAGGTGGCTCCTTTTCTTGGAAGTCAGCCTTTGTCTGTTTTTGCTTCATTAGGGTCGGTCCCAAACATTGAAAGTGAAAGTGAATACTACTTTGCTGTGGTTAACGCTTACTGTAAACTTCTTTAAAGTTTAGCAGCCATCGGAGAATCCGTACACATACACATTGTAAGCACATAGTTGGATTTGATTTCAATGAACAAAATAACATTTACTAAACAGTCATCCATGAAGATCAAATCAACTGCAAATGTGTTTTGACTATATTCTTGTGTGTGGAGGCTTGCATCATTGTTAATATTTACATGGCAAGATGTCGTTTTACACAGAAACAGGTACATTTATCTATTGATCATCACATCTAAACAAAGTTGTTATACACGTTTGTCCACCAGTGATGATAAAATAATTCAAATAGTTTTGGTTGTGCATTGTGAGTGCCTATGTGTTTTTTTTTCTAAATGCTATCCTTTCTCAACAGGAAGACGTACATTTTATGTTTTGCCCCACTAAAGTGTCACTGTGTATGTGATATTAAGAAATTAAGTTTAGACTGTAAACAAACATCCATTAATGTACCACCAATCCAGGTTTAAATCATATCCAAATCGGCTATATACAAAGGGCGTATTCGTATGATACTTATTTCTATTTATCATATATGTCTATATAAATCATGCACTATAAATTGCCGTGTATCCCTCCCTTATTACGTACATGTTGTATTTAATAAGTGAGGTATAGATGTAACTCCGAAGCCAAATAGTTGAACATTGCATGTAAAATGAATTTAGCGGGAACCAATACACCCCTTTAGATAAACCGCCGGTTAATACAGTACATCGTATGTCACGTGTGGTATGAGCTTTGCACATGCTGCTTGTCAAGTGTCCACACACACGAGACATTTTCTTTGTCATTTATGATTTCTTATATTCCGAGGGGCGGGTGCGGTGAAACAACACGCGTGTGCCCGTGTCAATCAGCGGAGAAGTCCTCCTATCCTACCGAGCGCCACCAATGCTGACTCTCGTGTTGTTACATTGTAGCGGAAAGAATGTCGGAAAGGGCCGAGGATGACGTCAGGGGGGAGCTGCGCCGAGCGGCCAGGCAGCAGCTGAAGCAGCAGCAGCAGCAGCAGCAGATCCAGCGGGGAGAAGGCTCCACAGCAATGGCGACCGTTGCGGAGCGGAGATCCTTGCCTAGTCCAGAAATCATGCTGGGACAGCCTTGGAGCAACTGGGTCGACGCCGCCAAACTCAACGGCAACGACGGTGAGTTCCGCCGCGTCCCGAATGTGCGCGAGGAAGCGAGGTAGCGCGCGACAGTTGCCAGTCCTTTTTTTTTTTTTTTGGCCGATTGCAAGCAGTTTTGGGTGGAATACGGAGAAACGCTACTGGTAGCAACAGCAACGGCAAGTGCAACTATTTATTTGTCTGTGTGTGATCGCCTCGTTTTCAGGTGGCGAATCGGAGGAAAGTTTGAAAGACTTGGGGAAAAATCGTGAAGCCATGCGTTTGTGCAGAGAAGGTGAGTGTTTTTTTTCTCTCTAGGGCCAAAGGTGTATTTTGGTTCTGGAGGTTTGCACACATGCACATGGATTCAAACACTTAACACGCGTCGTGTTCACTGTAAATCGTACGCATCATGAATCGACTCGACAACCGGATACAATAAGTGGAATGTGTCTGTTACTAGTCGTGTGGTAGTTAACATTTATATCTGTCCCTTCAATAACTTAGCGGTTAACAAGTTATACTTATAGCCCCAAACATAGTGATGGCAAATTCATATAGAATGCGTTTAATAGATTGTTTACCCACTTTAGTGCCTTTTTAGATAAGAAATCATCGGCATTTCACAATACTCATAACAACAGAAACGTTGGTTACTATTAAGAAGTTCAAGGTAGTCTTTCTTTTTGAAAGTTAGTAACAATCGTACGGTTTCTCAAATCGAGAACCCTGATGGAAATGTCTTGTTAAAACAGCATTTAATGCTCTTAGCCATGGCTGTATTTGAATGGTATGAAGTTAAGATAGTGCTCGCTCCCATTTCACCATCTTTACTAAAGGCTCAATTTAAGATAACTTTGAGATAACATTTCTTTTGGCTCACTTGCACACAATCCAGCATTTTCACGTAACTTTCTAAATTTATTCAGACCGGGTAAGTGTAAACTTTTGAAGGCCTGCCATCATTGTGGATAAATGAAGCAACTAACAGACTGCTTTGATATTCAAATAATAGTCTTGATATGCCCCTGCCCGTAACTATAATCTACGGTTATGCCATGATCTTTCTCTTTAGAAGAGAGACAGTCGTGACAGAATTAGGAGAAAGGACAGCATTGACAAGGGTGATAAAACCCACAATATCACAAGCCGTCATTATCTGGCAGTTTAGCATTACCTGGTATTTGTCCTGTCATCAGGCCGGGATTTAGAACTACAAAGGTCAAGTACTACAACAATAAAGAGGCGTGTTGTTTTAATTATAAATCAGGAAAATGCAGTATTTTCCAGGTTTTTCCACCCCTCAGACATTAGGATGAGCAAGTTGACAGAATGAGTTCTGGTTCATTTCATTTATGAATGCAGAACAAACGTTGGTACTACAGTGATTGTAGTTTGAAGCCTAGATCAATAAAGTTTAATGAGAGGTTTCATGCTTTGCTAATGTGGTGTATTGTCTTCTACGGCTACTTCTAATCACTTTGTGGAAGGGATTTTTACCTATTGCTCAAGGACACACGGTGTATCAAATGTGACCTGTTGTTAGTAGACAGTCATAGCAGCTCCCCGTACACCAAGATTAACATGCATCCTTTTCTTTGAGCCATATTTCAGAACTAAGTATAGAGGGGAAAATAGATTTGTCCTCAGTTTTCTGTTCTGAAATTGTTTTTGGGTGTACAATTTGGCAGCGAAAAACGGCATTCAACACCACCGTCAATTCTACATCCAACAGCAAATTACTGTGATTAATTCTCACTTAATTTGACAGTTTTCAGACTTTTGGTGACTCCTTCTATAAAACACCTTTGGGCACTGATTTGCACATCAATTTATAGGGACCCATTGATGCTGACTAATAACATACAGAAGCGAGCCTCTGTCTTAAGCTTTGTCTCAATGAGGATCGACCACAAGGAAGGAGACAACACTTCATTTGGTAACATACTTAAGTCGTCAGCGTGTCTAGATTTCCTTTTGCGTTGCTGTATAGGATCTGGTTAACTGCAGGCTGACTGACAGGCCACTTATGTCTAACGTTGCCTTTGCCTTGATCAACAATGTAAGCTGTGACCATTGCGCAATGTGAATGACACACGTTCTAGAGGCTCCCAATGGCGAGAAAACCCAAGTGTTCATATTATTTTCTTAATATTTCATACAAAATAGTGTGAAAAGGGTGGATGATTATTTGTTTGTCCGGGTCAAGAGGAGCATTTTCAGAAGAAATCAGAGAGACTTTATGTTCTGATCAAATGGGACAGTGTGAAGTGATTTAACGTGCAAGTGGCTTGAAACATGCGTCTGTCATGTAACAGCACCTTATTTAACAAGGGCTGATCAACACATGCTGCCCTTGATTCATACATGTTATTTAGTGTGTGTGTGTGTGTGTGTGTGTGTGTGTTGGAGTATTACAATTGGATGACTACACCTCTCCGCCATGACTCACCACCAGATTCCTCCCGCGGTTTAACCGCCATTCTAACGCACACAGATGATTAACGCATCGTGAAACAACCGATGTATGGAAATGAATGACCAAATCCACTCATCTTCTGCTTCCTTTTTGTTTTTTAAGAATATCTACACGTTTTACAGTACCACCGTCACAGTCGGGGAAGCTGGGAAATGTAGTGCCAGTGTCCGCCACAGGTCAGATTCAGCCAGTGTGTGTTCAGCTCAGAGGCAGCCAGAGCTGCTGCTATTCCACCTTGATCATTCATCACTGCCACGGAGGAGGATGCTGAGATTAACTGGACCCTCGTTCTCTTCCTCTGTCTCCTGCTCACTGGCTCTCTCTCTCTCTCCTCCTCGACTCACTCTCGCTTTGTCTTACCGACGCCTCGGCCTGCTTCTCTGCTCTGATTATCTCTGTTTCTTTCTCCATGCTCCTTTATTTTGGCTTTGTTTGGCCGTTTTGTCTCCTTCACGGTGACTTCCTATCTCTCTTTTCCTCTCTACCTTTTCATCTCCTACTTACAGAGAAGAAAATGGAGATTGAGAACTGGGCAGACACCGTGGCGTTGGACCACTTTTTAAGTCAGGCCGTTGCGACGGTACAGTTCAGTTGGTGCAAGTGCGTTGAATGCAGAGTCGGGGAGGCGATACAACCAGGCCGCTTTTCATAGTCGACCGACCTGTTTGGAGAACGCTGCAAGTAAACAACTGCATCAGTTTGGGAACAAGTTCTGTTTGACCTCGCTATTGATCCAGCTAGGAAATGCGGTCAGCCTCCCGGACGCCACAGTTGTTGGTCGGTTTCAACGAGATCCAGAAGACGTTTTGAACCGAGCTCTGATGGAGATTAAATGGGAGGGGAGTGATTGAGCAAGTATGTGTGCTCTCTCATTCCAATTTAAAGTTGGAGAATGACTCATTGAGAGGGTTAGATTAATACAGACACGTACAACCAAAAAGTTACACAGAACTCATGCCAGCTTCCAACTTACGCAAGGTGCAACCAGTGAGTGCTGCCCTGAGCGTCGCATTTCTGCACTTGTGCTCTTTGAATAGTATTCCAACCCTGGCGTGTGCACATCAGCAGTGGGCCTCCTAACTCGAGCTCTGTATCCTTAAATGTCTTTGTTCGTTAAAGTGAAGACGCTTGTCTTTGTTCCTTGGCCGACACCAGCCCGCCGTGAAGTCCTGTTGCTCCACGGCCGTTGAAGGAGACACTTAGCTGAGTGGCTTCACATAATTGACATGCATCAAGTAGCATCAGGCTTGTCAACTCATCCACACGACAATGCCACTGGCCTCAATAAGAGGGTATACCGCCTCTTTTTCCGGGCTTTGCTTAGTGGCCCTCATCTCTTCTAGACTCCTAGTGATGTTTGGAGAACCCTTGACAGCCCTGGTGGAGTACATATTGAAGGGGGGGGGTGGTCTTCTGCTCATCTCATCAGAACGCCTCAGGCTAATCTCTTAATTAGCCTCCTCAATTAGGTGGTTTCTGGTCCTGTGCGCCACGCTACATATTAATCACATTCTGAAGAGGGGTGGCACTCCCCCTCCACCCCCCGTTTGCCGGCCGGCGAGGTGTGATTTTAACACATTTTAAAATTGCTTAAAGTTACTAGTTACTCAGTAGATCAACAACACAGAGAGCAAAAGGGGAACAACGGCCAAATGATCCACGCGCCAACCTCTGTACATTAGGTTTGCGTTGTGTTTGTGCCATTAATTCTTTGGGGGGGAGGGGGGTAACCTTTGGATTTCTGCCTCAGCCCTGTTCCTTTTCATGGACTTTTATTGGGGGGACGTTCCCCTTGAGGAGTGGAGTTCTTGGTTTTTGGTCAGTATTTACGTGTGCAGAGTGCGGCAGTTTGCATCGAGTGACCACTTTCGTTTTTTAATTTTAATTATTTGTATGGTTATATATGTTTTCATATGTTACTTGTGCAACGCAATGATGTGTAAATGTGTTCTGTCTGGGGCGTCACTAAGTTTCCTCCTTGATGTTTTTCTATTAAACTGAACCCACCGTATCTTGAGCTTTTACACTGTTGTGACAACACGTCTGTGAATGTAGGTCAATTTTCTTTGCCCCTCCTTGACTCGTTCTCCTGTCTTGTTTCTGATTGTTCCCCTGTGTACAGACATGCCCATCTTCGGCCAATACCCCGCACAGGACGACTTTTACCTGGTGATGTGCAACCACTGCGGCCAGGTGGTCAAGCCCCAGGCCTTCCAAGCACACTATGGTAAGGGTCATGCACATGTGCACGCTTGCATGAATATGCGTGCATACACTCAGAGTCCTCAGAGTCACACCATGTACATTGAGCTAACGTCCACACAGAGCTAGTGAATGTGGACGGTAGAGGCATTAGATCATTGAAGAAGGAAGTGTAAAGAAAGTCTTTATCTGCAGGTGCGACTTCAAGGCTGGTGGTGATATTTCACACATCAACATACTCGGTGGTATCGTTTCTCCCTCGACCTTTGTGTTTCCTCACTACTTTTCCTTCTCGGCACAGTAACCCGAGATCGAGCGCCACAGACTTGGATTTATTTATTTAACTCACCGTCTAGGTTGTGTGTGTTTACAATTCCCCTGTTAATTTTTGATGCGGCTGTCGCTGTCTTTGCCGTAATGTACTTATTTAAAAAACATGTACAGCCCGGATAAGATTTCTACTTCCGTTCATTGTGTGTGTGTGTGTGTGTGTGTGTGTGTGTGTGTGTGTGTGTGTGTGTGTGTGTGTGTGTGTGTGTGTGTGTGTGTGTGTGTGTGTGTGTGTGTGTGTGTGTTATGCTGGATCTTTGAATAAAGGGATGAATTATAGATCTGTAAATAGCGTTACTGCATCACTGGATCTCTTTAAACTTCAGTGTTAATGGCAAGTTCACAAACGCCCACAGATGCAATAAATAAGCTGTCTGTTCACTCACAGGCTCATTTTCCTCAAACGCTGCGTATTAGAGCGGCATCTACCATGTCCTGCCATGCAAAGCTTTGTTTTGACGTTAGAAAGTATATTATTCTCTGTAATGAAAGACAATTAAGACACTATTTGTTAAAGCCTGTTCATATGAGAAATCTGACGGCTTATTAGTGCCAGCCTTCTGTCCCGTCAGTATCTTCTGACTCACACATCTTTTTAATTGTTGGGCCTTTTGTCCCAAATGTTTGTTGGGTTTTGTTCCCGTCAGTGGTGTGCATTCCACATGAATTGTGACAGCAGTTACAGTTGTCAACGTCCGCCACACGGGGGGGGTGTAAAGGTACACAGCTTCCAATGGAACTGTGCTCTAACACTGCTGAACATTACGGACCGATACAAACATGCCTGTAGGCCAGACTATTACTTATGACTATTACAGTATAATCTAGATTTCTGAATGAAACATTCCACTGCTTTACAGTGCCTATAAAGTAAGATATTACTGCCAAAATCCCAGAAGGTTGCTGCCATACAACTTTTAACAGGCTGATGTTATGAATGCAGGCGGTTCTCAGGCCGGTAGATTGATGAATCTCTAATCATTGATCACTAATTGATCAACACTTGTGTACTACTGTATTACCATATAGCTGGACTAACTTTAAAGCAGGGAATCTCTTGTTTGTGGGTATGTATTTTGCATATCTCAACAGCCATTGCAACAAAGGTCTTTGCTTGACTTTTTATCCTCTAATACAACGTCCACTCCAAGTGAAAGAGAGACATCACCAGCACAATCGTTTGAGGTGGAGCTTTCAGTTCAATGACGCGGGATGGTTTTAGTGAACAGTAGCAGGGCAGATGTACTGCTGACAACCAAAGGAAGCGCAGAGTCGAGTGTGAAGTTGTTGTTGTTGTATGAGCTGAGGGTTTGTTTTTTCTCGAGAAAAGCTGCCAGCAGGATTGTTAAAGGCCAAGCAATCAGCCCATACTGAACTGTCATGTATACGACCAGCACTGTTGTAGTAATTATACAAGCCTCTAAATGAGCAGCGGATGGAAACTCCTTTCATTTCTGTTCAAGTCGGAGTTGCAACTAATGACTATTTTCATTCTCGAAGTAATTTGACTTTTCATTTCAAGTGCATTGCCAATTTCATCAAATAGTAGAAAGGGCAGTTTTCTAGATTCTAATGTGGGGTTTTCAGATGTTTAGTTATAAAACAAGAAGAAAAGTAAATCTTGATAAGCTATTTTTGTTGTTTTCTTTTGATGATCAGTCATTTTCTTTCAAGTGACTCATTGTTTCAGCCCCACTCAGGAACGGTCTTAATAGAAGTAAAACCCTGTAGCCATGATGCTGTACGGGGCCATGCAGAGTAGGACTTTCCCCTGCTGGGGTTTTCCTCCTGCACTCCTCCCTCCGATGTCCTTATAGGAAGACCTCGTGTGGCGTGAACACGGGGCGAAGGGCCTGATCGCTGCACCATTGAGATGGTGTCAATAGGATTTTAGCATGCGTCTTTGAGCCCATCTGTCTCCCGTTAGGTGTTTGTGCCTCTCTGCTGAGGCTGATCCCAGCAGGGAGGGGTGGGGGGGGCTCACCACAGAACAAGAACCTCAAAGCTCCGCTGCGGTTTTACGCGTTCACACGAACCAGAGGAACAAAGACTCGTCTCCTTACAGCGCTGCTCACATAACCTTAATGTTTTTGTCATTGTGACGAGATGAACCGGTTTGTTGTTAACCAGAGGCCGGCTCAGCGGCTGCGACGTGGTGCTTGTTGAGATGGTAGCAAGGCCTTCAGACAGCCAGCGGCTCCCCTTAGCATGGAATCACTGGCTCCTCCTACTCCTGTGTTTGCTGCTGCTGTTTTCTACACGTTGTTACTTACTCTTTCATTCTGCCGTTGGTGATGTTGCTCTTTTCTTATCCGCCCTCAGAACCTAAACGCTTTTGCTGGTTTAAAGACTTAACGCGTGCTCAGTGTTAACGTAGCAAAAGATGTCTTTTAAAACGGTAGCAGGTTGGACATGCTTTGTGCACAGTGCACTGAGGGTGTCACGCTGTGGTTTCCTAGCGTGCGTTTGTGCGCTGCTGACAATGGCTGGGACGGCACAAGACAGCGGGGGAAGGAGGGAATGAAAGGGAGGCTGCTCACTATATATCTGGAGTGTGTCGTGAATGGGTGTGTAGAGACAGGCCCTTAGATAAGGAGAGGGAATTCTTCTGGGCTTTTTTTTTTCCTGCCTGAAAAAGGGGGGAAATTGGCGATGCAGTTTGAAGGTGTGTGTTTTGGTGGCCGAGGGGAGTGGCAGCTCCGTGCCCGTGCATGTGTGTAAGCGATCGATCGCCGTGTTTCTGCAGCAACAAGCTTGTTCGCAGACAACCTGCTGAGCTTCCACTTAAGGCCCGGTTCCCTGATCCTTCATGGAGTTAGCCCCGTCAAAGCTTAGCTAACCGGGCCACAACTCTTCCCGTTAGCTCGCCGCTGTCACCGGTTATTTCCACGTAAGCCTGTTTGTGCTCCTGAAGCTGTGTCCTCTTTTGTTCTCTCTTGACAAGATCAGGGTCAAGTTAACCTTCAGTGGCCTTTTTCACAACATCCCTTCAGGTGATCTCTCTCTCTCTCTCTCTCTGTCTCTCTGTCTCTCTGTCTCTGTCTGTGTGTGTGTGTGTTTTTATAGAGATTGAGCACTATGAAGTTTAACACTGGAGGGAACAACAGTTCATTGCTCTTAGTTGACCTTGTACAGTGTGAAGGTGCCTCCTTATCACTTTCGCCTGCTGGCAAACAGAACGTTTCTTAAGTGGCTTTGTGGTGGTGTATTTTACCAACGGGGTAACGAACCCCAGACCCACGTCTTGCTGAAACCAAAAAAACGATACTCTTCTTCTAAACTCCTCCCTGGTCAGTGCTCTTAAACGCTGTAGTAGTGTGGCGGTGAAAGGGTGCGAACGTAGCACAAGATATGCGTTTTAGAATGGAAACGTAGCACTGCATGTAGCCTAAGAAGACACAAGTGGATGCAGGCCTATGATGTGAGGCATCGGTATAAAGGACAGCATAACTGGGTGATCCTGACGCCGAGCACGTCCACTTGTGCAGCCAGCATTTAGTCCGAACGTCAGTTTTGGACCAACTAAGCATTTTGACAGCGTGCTCGCACCTTGTGTTGTGTTGTGGATAAACATGCAAGCGAAAGCTATGCAGCTTCATGTTGGCTCACAGCAGCTCTCTAACGCACAGCTTACATTAACTTGCCATGCATGTTGGCATGTTTGTTTCCCCCTCTGGTCGCCATGGTCTCCAGAGTTTGACATGTTTCCCATCTCTCTCCACTTATGGTCAGAGCGGCAGGAGTGTGTGTCTGGCTGTAGAACTCCTGGGGGGTCGGTAGTCGGTTAGGGAGCCACTGCCTGGCCTGCCTGGATTTACCGGTTACAAGTGGTAACAGTAACTTCTGAATATAAAAATATTCAATGCATTTTTCTTTGGTTTCAGTGTGACAGTAAAATAAGTCTCTTTCTGTTGTGGTGCTGTAGTGACAATGTCAATAAAGTTATTTTGAGTGAGGGATTTTCATTGTTGTATGCACTAAAAATAGGGAGCGCCTCCTTTTGAAAACCCAAACCCTGATTATTGTGGGTGCATTTGCAACACACCAACATTCAATCATTTTTGGAAACAATGGTGGACTTCAATTGTTTAAGAGAAAAAATATATTTAGTTTTGGATGCAAGCACTTAGTAATGAAAATCGCTTTCCTTTCATCTATTTTTGTCTTTTTATCCACGTCTCAGTATCACTCTAACCTTTTTCTGCTGTCACACTGCCTTTCATCAGTTTGAGGTTGTTAGAAGCCGAGTCTGAAATAGAAACATCCAACAGGTCAAGAACTTAATTTCCTTCCCGAGTTGGCATGAATTACAAATGCTGCCTGTCGAGGTAACGTGCTCATTGTTTCCTGGCTTACGGCCCATTTATTGCCACATCTACACCGGCACATTATTCGGTTCATAGTGCCAAAGCTTTTGTGACGCATCATTCTTATCATCTAATCGGGTTAAATATTATGTTTTAATGCCAACCCTCTTTGTACTGTCGGTCCAGAGAGAAGACACAGTTCGGCCATCAAGCCAGCCTCCACCTCCCCCTTCCCCGTGGCGGGCAGGAACAGAGCCACCGGCAGCGGGCTCGGTCCTGGGCCTGTAGCTGGACTGGCAAGCGGAGGCGCCCTTAGCCGATCTTCCACCGCTGGATCTTCAGCAGCATCCTCCTCCAATCCCCATCTCCCCAAACCAGCCAAAGAGCTGCCAGGCTTTCAGCGAAGAACTCCCTTTGCACCCTTCAGGACACCCCAGCAGGACAAGATGTAAGCTCCTCCGTAACATTTGAAGTAGTGTATTTACCTGTTTGTGCAATTTGCAGGTTATACAGCAAGATTTTAATCAGGTTTATGCCATCGATTCCTCATTTCCCTGCTAATATAACAACTGTTGCCTTCAATATTTACTCCGCTGTAATTTGTTAACTCTGTGTCATTTGTGTCACAGTCTTTGATACGGTTGAATGTTCCTTCTTATCTAACACGCTGCAACATGGTGCCATTATTGTCAAAATCTCTTATTTGGTCTGGGATCAGTCAGAGAAAAGTCATATATTTTTACAAAATATCTTTTTACCGCCAGAGTCTTTGATTACGGATGGATCATATAGATTTGTTTTTGTCCTCCCAGCCCCCTCCATACGTACACATCTGTCTCTTTCCACGCATTTCTCACTGCCTCCATGTTTCTAACTCTCAGCTTCCTGCTTGCTGCGCTCTTCATCTCTGTAACCTTCTCTTCCAGCCTTACTCCGGCTGTCAAGGTGGAGAAGATGCATCTAAGGGTGGACTCGTCAGCTAGGCTGGTGCAGGCCCCATCTGCCCCAGCCACCACCTCATCCCCCTCTACATCCTCCTCTAGCACCACTGTGAGCTCCAACACTACCACCATCCCCCCCTCCTCATCCTCAGCCCTTAAACCAGGCCTTAACTGTCCCTCCATACCAAAGCCTCCATTACTGGCCCCGGGTCCGATTGCCAACGGCAAAGGCCACCTGTCAGTCCTCTCAGACAAGAAGCAGGACAGCAGTGCCAGTAGCAGACGCCACCTAAACAAGAAATTAACAGGTAAGTTTGAGGGTAAATTAAGTTAAACTAATATTTTTATGTGCTTTCAATGTGGGTATTGTTATGTCTGATTCATCAATACTCTTTTTTTCATTTTTGTACTATAAAATATTATTGTGTTAGATTCTTGATATCTCACAAGGTCTTTTTAAATGAAATCCAATTGTAAGATGATGGTGGGTTATCAATTTCGATGATGACAAAAGAACACAACAAACATCTAGAGTATATAGCACATTCTACTCACGAGATATCAGTATATCTACTACGCTTGACTCATTTAAGATGTATATTTTAAATAAAACAACTTACAAATAAGTTATTAGAGCAGTTAATTTGTATGGGAGTAACATTTTTCTCCTCCCTCCCTCCTCTCCTGTGCCTTCAGAACGGGAGTTCAATGCAGATATGCACTGTGGCGTTGTGGATATGACCGCACGAAAACCATGCACAAGATCCCTCACATGCAAGGTAAGCAGTCTCTGCTTCGTCACAGCAAAGTCCCTTTTATACAGTCAGAGGAGCTCAGACTACAGATACAAAGTATTACTCAAAAAGTTACCAGTATCACTATTGCAATCTTTAATAACTTAGCACTGGGGCTCGTTCAAACCTGTGTTTTGGTACATGTCCCTACTGTGTGTTCAGTGTACGATAATGAAGAAAACATGTCAGCCAGTGCTATAGTTTGGTTGTTGTGTTTTAGACTAATTTCAGCAAATGCATTGTTCTCTATACATCTATACGTTCTCTAACCCATCATTGGACTGAAACCCAAACAGACCCACCACCCAAACAATAGCCCTGACCTTTTGACCTTTCTAATGTCCAACCAGACACATTCCTTAAGCCAGCGGAGGGCGGTGCCAGGGCGGAGGAAGCGCTTTGATACATTGCTGGCAGAGCACAAGAACAGAACAAGGGAGCGGGAGAAGGAGAGAGACCTCCACCAACCCCATTCCCAGCAAAACACCTCTCTCAGGGACCCACACCCCTCCTCCCACCCCACCGCTGCCCATGACGCCCAAAAGGTTGCTCATGGCAACGGCCCTGCCCCAGACGCCACTAAGCCTTTGCCGCTCTGCAAGTCCAAATTTCTCACCCCTGGTCTTCCACGGTATGTCCTGCAGCACATCTGTTCTTCTATTTCGTTTGGTGTTTTGTGTTTTTACGTGTTGCGTGCAGCCCCACGAACCAGTCTCCATCTCACAGTAGCCCTTTTTGGACAATTCTCTCTGATCAGTTGAAAATAATCGGCCACTCTTTCTGTCCATCAGACTAACCAGCAGTCACGGAGGTGGTACCCCCGGAGATCCTGCAGTAGTCCACGAGTCCCCGCACCACGCCCATACTACCCCCGATGGGTTTTCCCGCCCCTCCAGTGATGAGGGAGAGAACGAGGAGCGGGAGGACAGCTCTGACAAACTGGACTGTCACTATTCAGGTTATCACCCTCGGCCGGCAGCTGTAAGTGCACCCTACCGTGACCCTTCTCCAACTAGCCATGCCACAACCTATTTGTAAAGCAGGAATGTAGATCCTTAACACATGAACACGTATCACGCATACTATTTTGCTTTTTGCGATTAATAATGTAGTGATAGTTGTTTCCCACTCTCTGTTCCCAGTACTGTTCATTTAGAAGTCGACTGTTTGGGAGAGGTTGCTACTCCTTCGACAGGCGGTGGGACAAAGTGCGATGTGCCCTAACCACAATGACGGACAAACACGTCAACTCTCAGATGTGGAAGTAAGTTGGTCCAGATTGAATTAGTTGAATTAGAGCACTTAATAACCAGCATGCTTGTCTTTTACGGTCTGCATTCTTGACTTATTCGCAATCATAACCATTTATTGCCAAGTATATTTCACACACTAGGTCTTTTTTGTTGAGATATGCAAACGATAAAAGGAAATAGACAAATAACACCTGCAAAAAACTAGAATAAAGCGACCTGTGTATTAGATATTAAATATGAAATAATGAGCAAAGAAGGTCTGCAAAAACTGTCCTTGGAGTGCAGGATGCGGGAGACAGTCAGTGGGGAAACTGGGCTGTGTTGATGAGGCCAACTGCTGACTGGAAAGAGCTGTTTTTGTGGCGAGTGGTCTCCTCCTGCCAGAGGGATCAAATTCTGTACCGAATGACCCATTTTGTTCTTTGTTGCAGGAAAATCCCCTTGGCCTTGGAGAACTCCTCCTCCGTTGCACCTTCCCACAGGACAAGCACAAATTCCCACGGTAGCACTCCTTCTTCAGGCTTCCTGGGCCCCCCTGCCACCTTGCCCCAAACTCCTTATAGCCAATCGTACGAGGGCAAGTCCGTGCTCTCATATGGGACCACCTTAAATGCCCGCAGCTCTCCACAGGGCGGGGCTGAGCACCCGGCCTACGGCATTACGCAGGCCCGACAAGTGTCTTCGTCGCCGCAGATGCCTTCAGCCCCCTTGTCCGCCTCCTCCTCCTCCTCTTCAGCTCCCTCCCTAGCCTCAGGCCGAGCACTGAAGTCCCGTTCCTCCAGCAGCAACACTACCAAGTCGTCGTCGTCGTCGTCCTACAGGCCCAAGGAGATCTCCTCTGGCTCCTCTACACCCTTCATCCCCAACTCCATTGGTGGGGGCGGCAGTGGAGCCGGCAGTAACAGTAGCAACACAAGCTTCAGCTCGGGGAAGAAGAGGAAGAACAACTCTATTCTGTCTTCATCCCACGGCCCCTCTGAATCCTCCTCTTCTAACGCCATCTACTCTTCCTCCTCCTCTTTCAAGAAGAACTGTGCGAATGTCGGCAGCTCAGGGAGCACCTACCACCATGGCTCATTAGGTCCTTCATCCTCATTATCTTCCTCCCACAGCGGAGTCCACAGCGTGGGGCTCAACTGTGGTCCCACTGTGCGGACTAACTCGCTCAGCCTCAAGGCCGAGCCCACTGGAGGTTCGGCGGGCGGCTCCTCGGGGCCTCCAGCGCGTGGTCCTCCCTCGGGCAGCCCTGCAGAATCCATCAAGCGCATGAGCGTAGTGATGAACAGCAGTGACTCCACGCTGTCCCTGGGGCCCTTTGTCCACCACCAGTCCTTGTCCTCATCTGACCACCACACCAACTTCAGCCACCACTCCGCCGATGGGCGTCTGGAGGGCAAGAAGCGCAAGAGCTCCCCTGCCTCCAGCGGTATTAATAGTGGTGGGGCAGGGGGGGTGGGACCTGGACCCGGGAGACCCAAAGTGGCCAAGTCACCGGCCATTAACAACATCCATGGGAAGCATGGGCGAAGTATACCAGGGACGCCAGGTTTACCAAACAACTCCCATTTACATCAGGTGGGTGTTTTTGCTGTGTGTCTCAACTCTGCTTGATTTGAGTTTTCATCCTTTGAAAAACAAATGTGATTATGCGCACCCCCCCCCCCCGTGCCTGATCAGGGCCAAAAGTCTGAATTTCGAAAAGTGGAAAAATAAAGATTTGGAACTATATTTATATATTGAAAATATACGATTCGAATTTGAAAACGTAAAATCTGCAACCCAGAAATAAAATTCCGCAAAGGAATAGAGCAAATTCCGCAAATATCAAAAAATGAAGTGAAAATATATTCAAAAATTTAAAGAAATGAATCAAAACTATATTCAACCCCAAAATGCTTTTCGTCCACTCATTTTTATTTTGAAAACATTGTTGTGTTTTTCAATGTTCAAGACCAAAACCAAATGATCAAAACTTTGACCTTTAGGTGAAATTGACCAACTTGTCCCAAGTGACCCCATCCATCCCAGCAAACTCTCATCCAGCAGTTCTTCCATTCGTCTGCCTGAAAAACCCAGATTGATTTACTATCCATATTCTGAGAGACAAATCCGCATCCACTTCAGCATTTGCTATGACACATTCAAACCACACCTAAGCTTACATGGACGCTTAACGTGTATTTGTCTGTTGAACTGACGTTTATCCCACAAACATCAACAGCAAATGGAAAGTCATATTTACAGTTGCTTAAAGAACTAAATAATGTACGTGCAACAACATTGTAAGATATTGGAACTTTGAAGATGTGGGGAAAAAAAGACCAATATTGATTTTTATTTATTTTTTCCCCCCCAGCCAAAGGCTCGTCCCTGACAGTGGTGTGCAGCTGTGTAAGGAACCGACGGACAGGAGCGGTCCGAAGCAGTCCGCACACTGCTCTGGACTTCACAAGGCCTTCTAAAATCAAACCCACATTACTCTCAGCTTCCCACAATCCTCAGGGTGGAGATGATCCGGACTGCCCAGTGAAGTCGATGTGGTCCTTACTATTTCTCCCAAAGCCATGTTTGTGTGTGTGTGTGTGTGTGTGTGTTTGGGAAGGGGTGCAGTGGCACTGTATGCGTAGCGTGGAGCGCCAGGGGTCTGATAAGCGAGCCAAGGACCCCCCCCCCCACGTGTTGTCCCAGTCTTCTGAGAGGTCTTCCTGTCTTGAAGTAGGACAACAATAGCAGCGGTCTCTTGAACTGCTGATTGGCTTCAGGTTAAGGGCTGCTGGGACGATGACACTGAGCACACAGGGAGACAACAAGCCGATCTCTTCCGTGTCTGTCAGAGTGTGCGAATGCGCGTGCCTGTGAGAGAATGTTTCTCATGTCCGATTCTGCTGGACTACTGGAATTCCCAACTTAATTACACCCCCAGCGCCTGATCTCAGAAGCCTTGGAACGAGAGCAGCAGCAGCAAACTGTTACTTGCGAAACCTTAAACAACATACAATCACCTTGTTGTTTCACTTCACATTAGTTTGACTCTCTGGCGACATGTTTGAGTAGCTTGGAGTTCCACGCCAGCAGCCTGAGAGGAGCCCGTAGGGACGATCTGGTCAATTCTTTTATTACCCAGAATAATTATGCAAGTGTTACCTTTTTATGATTTCTTATGAGCTTTTTACACTGAACTACAAAGAGTCTTTGTGGATGTGGTAAAGACAGCTGTGCTTTCAAATGTGAAAAGGACGCCCCATGTGCCCATTGGCTTAAATCTTTTGTCAGAGAGATAACTTCACCTTGAGGACGCCTGTTAACTTTTCCTTGTTCAAAACGAATGGCCACAGTAGACCTACCCCCAACTGTGAACAAAACTAAAGAACTACTTCCGCGTCACAAAGCTAGCCAAAAGCCGCTAACGGCTTTGCCAACTGCTTCTTTTTCTTTTTTCTTTCTCCTAAACGGAAAGGTGGGCAGTCTTGCTCATGAAGCTTTCATGGTGCGTTGCCTGTGTGGATATGAAGAAGATCTGTGCAAACCTTGATGTTATTGCCATAACTTACCTACTTTTGCCCATTCGGCTGCATGGAATCCACAGCTGTTGTTGGGGGGAGGGGGGGGGGGGCAGATGTGAACTGTAATGTTACTTTTCCTACATAGGAAATCAGGTATGGTACGTCTTAACTGGAGCAAACTTTATGCACGTCGCCTGTCTTCTGTGGGTTTGATTAGCCCGCCCGTGTGTAACCACCACTAGCCGAGCGACACTATGGTGGTGTCTGTGGAGAAAGGGTTTGTCGCGGCAGAACGGGACAACCAGGCATTATGCTCTATTCCTTTGTCAAAATGGAGTCTTAAATCAGGCAATACTTGTCTGGATGTTTGCTTATTTCCAGCGGCTGCGTGGGTTTAATGGTGCGAGATTCATGGAGATGGCTTCACCGGACATGAACGCTTTTGGCAACACCTGTTCATGTAACCTCCAGTGATGTCATCGTGGAAAAGTAGAGGACAATTTTTTTTGTAGCCTAATGTATCAAGCAAGTATTGGAGTATCCCTATTTGAGAATAAATATTTTGTTAAATAGTACATATTGAAATATGTATTTTTGCACAGGCTTTTTTTGTACACGCAGAATTTTTGGTACAACTTTTTTTTTTTTTAATTAATGAAAGAAAAAAAATTATTTATTTAGGACAAGTCGGAGAACTTGATTATTTGAAGTGGTTCACTGCCAGGTCTATAGAATGCAATATGCCTATATGTAGAAGCTGAAGCATCTCATGAATCATGTACGGAGGAGATCCTTAGAGTATCCGAGCTGACGTGTTGCCATGTGTCTGTATGACAGGATACCTTCATTCACTTCTCAAGGTGTCAATCACATGTGCTTTCACAAGATATTTTTGCGTTGCCTCTAAATCAACAAAAAAGTCAGTGTATGACCCAACTAGCCTGTGGTTCTGAAGGCTTGAAGCTGTCCAACCAGTTTCAATTAACCTTTCAGTCGAACACTCTGTAGACCTTAAACACATTTCACGATTGAAATACTTGCGTTCTTTTATGAAGGCTGAAAGGACTCATTCAAGGAAGGGGAACAAACAAACAGTCCGACTGCTTGCGTCATCGTTGCCAAACAAGTCATTTCAATCACCGCTTTTAAAGAAATAGTTTGCAGCTTTTAAATGAAATTAAGAAAGTGCCTGAATTTGTTTCACCCTGACTGTTTTGATGACAGTGTGCTTTGGGTTGTTTTACCTTACTTGAATGTTGGAAGCATTTAGGCGTTTGCTTTTAAATCTGCCTATGAACCCTAAATATGGTAAAACCGGAGATTGTCAGCCGCCCAGTATGAAACACTTGTGTTGTGTTGTTGTTGTTGGTGGAGGTTTTTTTGGGGAGGTGGAGAGGAAAGGGTCAAAACTTTTCCAGACAAGACGTGGAGATTTCGGTAGCCTCATTATGCGTGGCTTAAGTCCTCTCTGGTTTACTGCGATTTTTTACCTAAAAAATCTTCAATCAAGTGTTTTGTTTACCCTCAAACTCCACTGACAGACATTTTGACATAGTTTCCGGGAGATGGAAACCTCACGAGGTTGTGTTGCTTTTTTTAAATAGCTCCCTAGACTTGGAATGTGAATGTGAGAGAGAATACAGCTCGTGTTTGGGAGGAAACAATAAATCCACCATTCATACTATATAAAAGCGTGTATAGATTTTCTTTTTTAATTTTTTTTTTTTTTTGTATACATTATCAAAATCATTTTCAGCTGGACTTATGTATTGGCTGCTATGTAATTCATGAACAAAACATAGGTTAGAATTAATATTTAAAGAAAAAAGATTGTATAGTATATTTGTTTTGTAACAAGTTTCTGTAAATAAAATAATTTATACTGCTATTTATATGAAATGACGTGTCTGCCTCATTCCTAAAAAATAGATTAGAATTACTGACTCGTTGCAGTTTACATCATCCGTGTCTGTACAGAACATTGTTGCTTTATGTGTTTTGAAAATGCATTAATCATCATGAAAAGTTATGTCCAAAAACATGTTGGGGAGGTTTCAGTCATCTTTACTGATGACTTCTTAGTACTACACTCTTGTTAATTGATGCTTGAATCCAAGTTGATGTTCTGACACGAGGTGATGACGTACTCTGAATGCTCAGTATAAAATAAAAATCTTAATCTAGCATACCATGAAAGGCCATAATATAATTAAATGTCCTTTACACCAAAGTATGTAATGAAAATTTTACGAAAAGGTCACATAAAAACAATTGGATTTTCTTTTTACAACAATCTATATGTTCATGTAGGTTATGGTGCAGTATTAAAGTAAAATGTCATTAAATAGTTTTTCTTTACAACATATAGTGTATTGTTGAAAAAGAAAATATGGGAAGGATTGTACAACATATGGGATGTCAAAAAAAAAGTATGTGTTGAAAATGGTAATGAACACTGATGATATATGTCATAAGCAGTTGACAGCCATGAAAATATATTGGAATGGTATCAGTCATGGTATGTTGCAAGTAGATCATTTTAAAAAAAAGTATAAGTCATAGTTTGTCATTTCATTTTTTTTTCTTTCAAAAAGTGAGCCAATATAGAATAATCTCATACAAATTAGAGTGTGAAGGGTGGCACGGTGGTTATCACTGTCACCTCTCAGCAAGAAGGTCCTGGGTTCAACTCTGCCCTGCATGTTCTCCCCGTGTCTGCGTGGGTTCTCTCTGGCTTCCTCCCACAGTCCAACGATATGCTCTGGAGATCAGGTTAACTGTTATTGCCCCCCCATTAATAATTGAAAATAAACCAGTGTCGACCATTCAAATTCTGCTCTGCTATTCTCCATGTGTGTGTATCTATCAGCTCCCTTAACAGAGAGGCTGCACGTTGGTATATTACATCATGCGCGTTAAAAAGCACTGATAAAAGAACAATGTCCAACACTGAACCTTTTGCACCGGAGAATTTCTTTTTATAGATAAAAACTATTCTGCAGGAAGTGCATTCACGGGAATGAGAGGTGTAAGGTCACCAATTTGTTCCAAATTGGAAGAAATTCTGGCATTCCTCAGGTGACACGTTCACGAGGATGGGACGGCTTGTACAGACAAACATAAGGAATTATGTGCACAAGAAAGAACAAAGACAAAATCACGATCACGCCTTGGATCTCCACTCAAATATCATTTAAAAAAAGTCTAGAGAAATGTAATGTCAACAGTTAAACAAATTTTATTATATACACAATATAAGAGTCACTTTGTCAGACTAATAACTGGTTTGGGTATACCAAGAAGAATGATGCAAGTCCCAGTTGCATAAAAATATGACAACCGCGGTTACATGTTGATAACCCTCGACAACTTCTGGACTCTGTTCAGCAGCAAGTCGCCCTTCTTGATGGTTTCTTGGTACTGCCAATTTTTGCTGTCAGGTCTGAAAAGGAACAAAGGAAGTTCTGAGTTCTGCCCGTATTTACAGAGGTATTTATAGTACCTTAAAGTACTGAGGTTCAAAGAATGGCAACATTACCTATTAGTTTCCACAATCTCGTTCACTTTATCGATTTTGCAGTGGAGACGTCCAGCAGCTATGAATCGGGAGAGTTCCCTGAGGAAGAAGAGAATATAAATATGTGACAGAGGCTGTGGTTCCACTTGTTTAATTGTGCAAAGGACACATTCATTTTAGGTCTGAATGTTCAGTTTGGATATTGCCAGCATTGACATCTGAGAAGATCAAAAACGTTCAAATCAGATCTCAGGGAATTGTGGCCAGCATGTGTGGACATTTTATCAAGAGCAGGTGTCTCACTGTCGAAAGGACGAAAACTGGGTTTGGTTACTGTTAATAACCCAACATTTCCCAATTTCCATGCTTGTAAATAATACAATAACCGGAGACCTTCACTGAATAATTTCTAAACGCATTTGTTTATTTAATAAAACAAGTATTGCAGACAGGAAAGAACGCAGCAGAAACAGTGGACTTCTATTGTGAAGATAACTTACAGCCGCTGCTTATTTGAATAACACTGTCCTGTAAGGCCGGTTGCATTGAATTGTCATGTGTAGACAATAAGCAAACCAGATGAGCTCCAATATGCCACATCAGATTACAAATTCGGAATTAAGTGATCTATAGATCATACATTACAGTTGTATGTAAAATAAAATAAGACATGCAGCACCCTCATAAAACCACGAGAGAACTTCAGCATGGATTCTGCAGTGACATTGAGACTAAACATTGTATCTCTCCAGTGGATAAGGCGTACGAACATGGTTTAAAAAGGTGCTTACTGGTCAATGAACTCTGTGCTGACACCGAAGGCCTCGGCCATGTAGCCCAGGGTGAGGGAGCGGTAGGACTCTAGCAGCTGGCTGTAGGCCTGGATCCTCATCTCCCTCACGTAGTAACGGTAGTGTGGCGCAAAGAGCCAGTCCTTCTTCATCTCCTGTTCCACCGTGGCTGTGGCAAAGAGAGAACAAGGTTTTTAAAAAAGGTAATTATTCAAAAATCACAACGTTACAGAGAAGGAAAATACAGCGAAATGACACATACACATAATGCAATTGTGGCAAGACTTAAATATTGGAACGCATTAAAGAACACAGGAAATAAACAGGAAATAAACGCGCAATAACACTCCAAGTTACTAGCTAATGTATTTGTTCCGTAGGGCAAAACAAAATGCTTCCTCACCCAGAGACTGGAAGAAGACAGAGTAACGGCACTCGTAGAGGGAGAAGAGATACTGGCGAACGGTAGGTAGACTGTGCAGCACCTCCAAAATCTCTGCTCCTTTTATCACCTGAAGAGGAACACATTTCATTGCAGCCATAATGCCAATCTAAACAAGTGTCTGGAGACAGTTAGCGCTCGCACCACGACCCCGTCTCCTACCTTTTCACGGAGGTCCGGCCTTTTCAGGGCAATCATGCACACGTAAACAGTGTAGGTGACGAACGTCTTGTAGTCCATGAGCTCGTAGGAAGTGAAGGTGGAGACTGTGTCGAGGAAGAGCTCAGCAGCTTGCTTGAAGTCCCTGATGGCCACACAGTACAGGCCCTGGTAGACCTTCAGACGATTCCTCCTGTCCCAGTCTCCCCCCTCCTCAATAAGGCTGTGTAGAAAATAGGTGCAGAGAGATGAGCACTTAAACAACGACAGGGGCTGGTGGTTGAGATGTTGTATATATATATATATATATATACACAGGTCTATGAAAAATATCAGAGCCTTTGCCTCTTGGCTTTCTCCGAGTTGCGTGTGATGAGGTCGCTGTCCATGTAGAAAAGTCCAATCCTCAGCAGGTAGAATACGATATCTAGCCTGTGTCCCAAAGCCACTGTCTTGTCGTAGGTCTTTCTGAAGGCCGTTAGGGCACCTTCCTGTGGACACACGATTCAAAGAAGTTAAATACCATTTCAGAGGGATGCCTGATTGTATGAGAAGAATGTTCAGCAACTCTAATTTGATCAAAACCGTGCTCAGAAATCAAAATACGTTGTTTGATTGTAACTATACATTACAACACATCAATGATATCTGACGCGGTGTCATTATCAACATTATCTGTTTTCAATATACATTATTGTCTGACAGAGTGTGTTTTGAGCCTACTGAAGGAGTTACCTTGTCTCCAATTCTGATCAGATATTCAGCCTTGGCCATCATGGCGTCTCGTATCTCACTCTCTCCCAGGCTCTTCTCTGCATCCTCCAGCACATCATCCAGGCGCTTCAGCTCCTCTTCGTTGGCCTTTTTCATTTTGCTCTGCAGATCACCGTCCAGCTGCCACTTCAGATCCTTACACAGACCTTCGTAATAGGGCGCCATATCTGGGGAAACACAAACAGGAACACAGCTTTAGCCTGTGGACTAGAAAAGCCTAAAGCCGTGACGTGACGTGATCTCATATAACGTTACATCTCATACTCGTAAACAGCCCGTATCATATACGTCACCGCTAGCCGTTGTCGATGACTCAACACATGACACATCATTTGAATTTAATAACATGCCTAAATAGTTAGGTTAACAAACGGCCATCGTCAGATTGCTTGACGGCTAACCGACGTCCGCTAACAGCGTTAGCTGGAGTGCTAATTAGGTTTAAATACATTTTATACATTTACGGAATGCGTCTGCGTTTATGAAACAAAACGCAACCCCGAAGTGAACGCGTTTATAGTGAGCAAAGCTACTGAAGCTAGCGTTACACGTCGCACAATGCAGTGAAGTGCTAACTCACTGTTAGCTTTGATAGCGTCCATGAGCTCGGTCTTCACTTTGGCGTCCTGTCGGTGACCGTCCATAGTGAGCAGAAACTTGAGCTGTGCGATCCTCAGATCGGGGTTCTTGGGCAGACCCTCCTCCTCCAGGTTTTCTAGTGGCATTTTTAGTTTAAAAAAACAGATACAAAGACACAAACGGGAGGATTTCTTTGTGCAGACAGAGTACTCGCGGTTATCGACTAGCCTGAGTTCACGATGACTACGGAAAACACCGAACTGAGTTGTTTCCGCCGGAAAGTCAGCCAACGAGGGACGGAAAGAGCGGAGAAGGACATTTAACAAACAACGCAATCATTTACTGCCCTCTGCTGGACATGAGTGGCAGCACATGGCCACAGCATGCGGGACTGCTGGCTTTGGAAACGATGCCCAATAAATTAAATCACTTAAGAGGAACGCTAAACAATTCAATACAATTCTAACATTTTTTTCCAAAATTGAGTTGACCTGTTTTTACTTTGAAAATGACCCCTTTTTAATAACATCTTGTTGCAGCTGTCTCACCATTTTTTTAACCTCTGTTTAATTTGTATATTATATTGTAGTTAAACCACCATCAACAGCACATTCAAGTTCATTCAAAATC